GCTTGACCTATGACCCTGGGGCCTGGCATAGAGAAGTGGAAGATGGGTATTTGGTGAGTAGTGAATGAATGAAGGTGGAACTAATCCTGAAAAAAAGGTGATTTCCTAAGACCTTTCTCCAACAGGTAGGACCAGGTCCCCTTTTAGCAACCTCCTGGGCAGGGAACCAAGTGTGAGGAGAGGGGTGGGTATAAAGCCCAGTGAAGCCTGAGGAGGCAGGCTGAATGGGCATGGGGCTTTTGGCAGGTCTGAAGGTGACAGTGCTGCTTTGGGTGCTGCAAGGCTCAAGGAGAGCTCATTCCGGGATTCCCTCCAAATCCCCTAGGACCCCACAGTCCCCTTGTCCCCAGCCATGGCTGTACAGGGTAGGAAGGCCCAGCTGATAGCGAAGGTATATAGAGACTTGTTTGGGACTGGCCACCTGATTCAGCCTGAGGAGATGACCCTGAGCCCTGGGGCTTGTGTTCCCAGCCCCTCACACCCCCTCAGGGAGACACTCATCTTTGATGTGGGGCTGCACAGGCATAGCAGCAAGCTGCAGGTGAGAGGATGTAAGGTGAGGTGGCCTTGGCACTAGAAGCCAAAAAATCATATACTGGCCGGAAGCTGCACTGGACCCCCACCTTAATCTGTGGGGCAAAAGGATGGGGTCTTCGGATGGCCCCAGAGTTTCTTGGTCCTGGTTGGGGTCCTCCCCTTAATGGCTCAGTGACTTAAGCTGACCCTGCCCTCCCTAGGTCTCACCTCTATAGCTGAAACTAGGGCTGGGCCAGGGCTCTCCAAGCTGCCCAGCTCTGACCTTTGACTTTCTCTCAGGGTGGCAGGAGGTCAGGTAGATATGGTCTGGGCTCCCTTGCTTGCCTCCATCTCCTTGTGAAGCCTCCCTCTCTTCACCCATCAGGTGAGCAGGGCTGGGACAAACAGGTGCGCATTTGTGGGTCTCTGACTCCTCTGCCCCAGGTGGGCCTGAGAGCCTCGTCTCCTTGCAGTGCCCCACTACCCCCCATGGCCATGTGGCATGCAGTGACTTCTAATTGTTCTTCAGGTGCTTGTCTTAGATTTCTGAGATGGACTGCCACCTACAAATATTAGTTTATTTGCAACACTTATACTAATAGATTCTTATTTGTCTAGAATAGAGTTTTTCAATAGCAGCACTATTGACATTTTGAGGTGTATAATTCATTGTTATGGGAGACTATCCTGTGCATGGTAGGGTGTTTAGCAGCATCGCTGGCCTCTGCCTTCTAGATTCCAGCAGTACTCCCTAGTTGTAACATTTGAAGATATCTCCAGACATTGCCAAATATCACCTGGCAATAGCACCCCCCTGGTGGGATTGCTGGCCTAAGTACCTCTAGAACAATGTTGGATCATAGAAATGATAGCACATTACTGCTTCTGACCTTACTAGCAATATCTCTAGTAATAAAGTATACCAGTTCTGTATACTACTGTCCAGAGCTAGTATAGTAGCATAAAAAATAATAAACAGAGCCTCTTTAAAATGGAACCAGAGCTGCCATCCAGGAGGAACTGCCTTGAATATCTTATGCCTTAAGCCTTTGGGATATTAAAACAGGTCAAAGTAGTAATAACTTTTGGGTGGACCTAAAGCAACATTATATCCCAGAAAACTGTTTGTGAGGACTACCATACTGATGACTACCTGAAAGGAAAATTAAAAACATTGTTTAAAATTAGCATCCATATGTTAGCTTACCTGCACCAATAGAAATGCATTCCTTCTATTATTTCTTCTCCTTCCCATTCTCATAAATACCCCTTGCCTTTGTCCCCAAATAGAAAAGCTATTTGGATTTATGCCTGAATCAGTGATTTCTGAATAAATATTTTTTTTTATTTCAAATAAATGCTTGTTGCCACTCACTGTAGCCTTTTATTTTTAGGCAAGCACTACTATACTGTACTCAAGTTTAATTTGAAAAAAATGAAACACAGGACTTTCATATAAATAATGAAGAAATGTCTGTCAAATATTTTTTAAATTAATAAGGGAACAGTAAGATGATAAAGCTGGTTCAAATTTGAGAAGTATTTATAGTGCACTTGGAGAATCATTTGAAATGTGTGCTGAGTTACACAAAATTTGTTAATGTAATATAGCGGTTATCTTTTTTTACTGAACAGATATTTTGTAAGTTAAGCTATAACTCTCGCAGCTACATTTTCTTACATTAGTGGTTTTCATAGTCCCCAAACTGGAAGCATCCGCATCACCTGGAAACAGGTTGGAAATGCAAATTTTTAGCCCCTCTCCCAGACCTATTTAATTAGAAACTCTGGGGATGGAGCCCAGTGATCTGTTTTGACAGGCCTACAGGTGATTCTGAGGCACTGTAATATTTGAGAACCACTTCTATAAATAGTCAAATATTTATTTTCAAAACAAATATTAGGCGATGCTCCAATATGACATCAAAAGGATACGCTGCCCTGTCTCTTGTGGCTCATTGGTTGGGCATTGCTCTGCAAACTGAAAGGTCTCGGGTTTGATTCCCAGTTGGCTGGTCAAGGCGCGTGCCTCAGTTATGATTCACTCTATGGTCTACAGGCATGTACAAAGAGCAATCAATCCATGTTTCTGTCTTACTGTGATGTTTCTCTCCCTTTCTCTGTCCCTCCCTTCCCCTCTCTCTAACATCAATAAGCATGTCCGCATGCCACCCACCCTTTTGCCCTATCCCAAATTTAAATAATTTCACTGTAACAGTTTGATGTTTGGTGTTTTGTTTTTCAGATTTTCTATCAACTTAAGGCAGTTTTCATCTATTCCTAATTTATCTTTTTTTCTCCTTTTTAATAAAAATGGTTTTCCAATTCTATCAACTTTTTTCATTAAGCTATTGGTATGATGAAATATAAGATTTTAAAATTTATCTTCGAGAGGGGAAGGGAAGGAGAAAGAGAAATATCAACATGTGAGAAAAACATCAATAGGTTGCCTCTGGGCACATGCCCCAGTGGGGGTCCAGAGGACCAGTGCAACCCAGGCATGTGCACTGACTGGGAATCTAACCAGCGATCTTTTGCTGTGCAGGACAATGCCCAGTCAACTGAGCTACACTGGTCAAGGCCCATTCACATATTCTTTTTTTTCTTATATTCTTAAAATAAAATTTTTCTTGAACATGGTGTAGTATTTTAACACTGCTGACTTCAACATGAAGCAGGAGGTAGTTAGGAAGGAGAAAACTCCGGAGGTGCCCCAGGGCTAAGATAAAGGACATTGGTACAGGACATAGACCCTGTTCTAAGACCCGTGGTCTCCACTTTCTGGAAAAGCGCTGAATCATGGTGAATCATGAATGCACCTGCGCAGAAGATGCTGCATGACCCCTCCTTCATTGTAATAGCATTATAATAAACTAGCATTGTGTGACCCCCCCCTCCCTGGTGGCCAATCAAGGGAGACCACATGCACAGTAGCTTTAAAGTAATATGAGTACTTGTACATGTGCAATAAAACCCTGCCAAAACTAGCCAGGAAATATCCACCCTATAAGAATAGAAGCTCTCCAGCCCCTGAGGTCAATGTCTGCTTGGAGTTGGCCCACTCCAATGTTCTGTGGAGTGTACTATGGCTTAATAAATCTTCTCTCTCTCTTTCTGCTATAAACTCTTCATGTGTTCAGTTCCAACTCTTTGTCCGCAATCACCAAGAACCTGGTTACCTGTGCCCACCTGCGACAAACATGTTGGTGTTTATGATTTTTAAAAAGCTCTTGATAAATGAGATCATTGCTTTGCAGCCTTTTGGCTAAGACCAAGTGTATAAATGCGGTCAATTTTAGCACGAATTGGGAAACTTTCCAACTCTTTCTCTTCCCGGTGCAATTTGTTATAGACTTATCTGTTCTTTGGAAGGTTAAAAGCCTGCAACAATAGAACCAGCTGGACTTGGTGTAAGGGGGTGGGGGCGGACATACACTTGAAGAGACGTCTCAAACAGTTCAATTTCTTGATTGGTTATTAGTCTATTCTCTTGCATACTTATGTTGTTGCTGTTGGTTTTGGGGGATTTTGTGGTTGTTACTTTACCTCTTCAAGTGACTACTGGAAATTTGGTTTTCTAGACCATCCGTTTGCTCAAATTCACCAGTAAGCAAACTAGTGCAATTTAAAACAACCTATTTTTCTCCCATTTTATTAGGCAAATTTAAGATAAACCATTTATCTTAAATGTTGGTGAGGCCGAAGGGAAAGAGTGCTCCTGAGCATGTGGTTACTGCCCTCTTTGCTAGGCAACTAAGGGAATTCATCGAAGTGAAAGAATATACCCAGGTACTTGAGATATCCGGGATACTAGTAATGCTGTTATCTTAAGTGGTTACCGGTGACGTTGTGTGTACAGTTTATAAAAATTCATTAAGCTCTGTACTTATACTTTGTAGAGTTTTCCATATGCATATTCTATTGTAATGACCTTTTGAAAACATGGCTTTTGGCCTTGGCTGGTGGGGCTCAGGGGACTGAATGCCGGAGTAAGAACCGAAAGGTCCCAGGTTCAAATCCTAATCATGTGAGTTGCAGGCTAGGTTAGGGTGTGCCAGAGGCAACATTTCTCTTGCGCGGACGTTTCTCTCCCTCTCTCTCTCCTTCCCTTCCCCTCTCTAAAAATAAAATGAAAATTTTTTTTTTTTTTTTTTTTTTTTAAAAAGGCTTTCGCCACAGCCCTCAGCTGTATATAAGGGCTGAACTTAGTGGCCTGAGGCCCCTTTTAAGGAAATTACACCCGGCCCCAGAACTCCTGCTCCCTTAACTCGAACAAATTAAATGGCTTCTGCTCCCTATTTTCTACTGCTTAGGGTATCTCCGTTAAAATGGAGGTGTCGCCTGTCATTTTCTGGGAGGGTTTCTGGAGAGACCGATATACGGCCCTAGCATTTCGCCCCACAGCTGCGGGTCTGGCGAACTGCCCCGCCCCGTCACCCGTCTCCCGGTCACGCCCCGCCCCGCCCCAGGAGGCCCCGCCCCAGAGTCACGTGACCTCTGCCTCAGCTGACCCCGAACTACGGGAAGAAGAAAGTCCCGGGCTGGGCTTCCTGGAGCTATGGTGAGGGTTCGCGGATGCGCGGCAGGGGGTGCTGGGCAGGCAGGGCAGCGTCCGCCGGACCCCGTGGACTGACCCTGTGTAAGGTGGGGTGCGAGTGCGAGGAGAGAGGAAGCCGCGCTGGCTCCTTTGCAAACACGTTGGGCGCAGTCGTGCGGGCCGAAGGGCTGGGACTGAAAAGCCCTCTCCGCCCCCTCCGCAGCCGGCTGGGCCTGTCCGTGTGGGTGGGAGTCCCCGGGAGCTTCCTCGGCGAGAAGGGTCCCCGCCCCGTCGCGCCCGTGGCGAATCTTGCGCTCGTCCCGAGCCTCAGTCCCTCCAGGCCTCCCCCGGCTCCAGCAGGACCTCCCAAAGGCGCCCACTTCCAGCCCTCCTGTGGGACTTGGACAAGAACTTGCTTAGAATTAGGCTCAGTCTAATTCTTCACCGTTAAGAAGGCCCTTCTCTCTCCCCAAAGCCAGAAGGGAGTAGGTTTTGAGTCGGGACTTCCCACCCCTTCCAACCATTCATTTCTGCGACCGATTTTCAGTGCGTACTCGACCCCACGCACCGCGCTGGGCCCTGAGACTGCCGCTGCAGGAGGGAAGGGCAAAGTTGGAGACTTCATTTGGCAATCATAGTTAACACCTGAGGGAAAGCGACCTACCTGCACCTTGCGCATAGTGTTAGCAAAGGATCCTGCGGGCCTGGGGGAGGGAAGAGAGCTGGCTCCCTGCAGTGCAGTTTGTGTGTCAGGAGGTGGGGGCTATAGAGAGCATGGCTTCCTAGGAATGAACGCATTTCCCCCAACTGAGTATAAACTGCAGGTTAGTGAAAGAAGAGGCTGGGCGGGTAAGTAAAAACCAAAGCTCGCTGGGCCTTCAGATGCACGTAGAGTGTGGACTTTAAGTAGAGGGCACCGGAAAGCGAGGAAGATCCTTTTGGCTTATTTTTGGAGGGAGCAAGAGAGGAGCAGAGAGCCCAGGCTGGGGCAGCAGACTGCCAGGAGATGGCGGTGACCTGAGTTAGGGTGGAGGGAGTAGAGAGAGAAGCCAGGGCAGTCAGCAGGGCCAGGCACTAAATGCAGGAGGGAAAAGAAAAGAGAGGTGTCTGGCTTTGGCTCCCAGGTGGCTGTGCTCAGTGGGGTGGGAAACCCAGTACAGTGAGCAGGGTTCAGTGGGAAGAGCATCAGTTTGCTGGCTTTGTTCCCAGTCCTGGTAGAGGTGTGGGAAGATGGACTTGTATACTGCTGTAGGCTAGAGCTTTGTCAGGCAAACAGGACAAAGGGCAACTCATGCGGGTAATGGAGGATATTGGCAAGACATGATTGACAAGGTGGGTTTGCCTTCTAACAGAGGAGAGAATAAATAAGAAAATATGCTGTGACAACTGCTATGGAGATCAAGCAAGAAGCATAAGGGGCTAGAGCATGATAAGAAAGAGTGATTGTAGTTTTTTAACAACTTTATTGAGAAACACATGTAAATACACACTTCAGTACATTTTGATATATATGTGCTCATGAAAACGTTACCAGGATCAAGATAATGAACACATCCACTGGCCCCTGAAATTTCCTTGTGCAAGAGGCTATTTTAGAAAGTTTAGTCAGAGGAGGCGCAACAGAAGAGGTGTCATTTGAGCAGAGATCTGAATGAAATGAGAAGGCAAGCAAGCCACAAGGACAATGGGAGTGCGCCTGGTGTGACTGGCACAGCAGGGAGGCCAGTGTGGCTGGAGCCAGGGAGGAAAAGGTGGTGAGAGAGGTCACTGGCTGTGAGGCCAGGGACTTTGTTTTGTTCTATGGGCCCTGTCATAGAGAAGACATCCAGCTGATGTTTTGCGGAAGAGATCAATGCCTGGGATAGGCGTTGGAACAAGGTTTGGTGGGAGGATGGATCAGGGAGAGGATTCTCTAAATAGTATGGTAATCAGGAGACCAAGTGGCCAGAAGGCAGCCATCTTGGACAGGGAGGAGGTGTCCCTGAAGAACAGTAGTGTGGGAGACACTTGACCACACCTCAGCCCTCCTTCCACACTGACTGCTTGCCTCACTCTCATGCAGAGGTTCCGGTTCTGTGGTGACCTGGACTGTCCTGACTGGGTCCTGGCGGAGATCAGCACACTTGCCAAGATTGTTGAGTGCATGGGGTCTTCTTGGGGGTGGAGAGGACAGAGGGATTGTGGATGGGGGCTCTGGGAGTGGAGGGTGGTGAGGTCACTCTGGGGTCTGGGCCTCAGTGCTCTCAGCTCATCCTAGCATGTTGTGTGACTGATCACATGGCTGACCCTCTCTGAGCAGGCCCCCCAGCATGGAGGGGTGAGGTGGGCCAGTCTGGCTGATACAAGGCCTTCCTCTCCAGTCCTCTGTGAAGCTGAGGCTGCTGTGCAGCCAGGTGCTGAAGGAGCTTCTGGGACAGGGGATTGATGTGAGTGCCTGGCCCAGCAACACTTTGCCCTGTGACCCTGTGACCCCTACTGCACTAAGTGCACCAGACCCTGGGAGGTGGGTGCTCCACCTCCTACCCTCCTTGGATACTTCCCATTCTTACCACAGGATCCAGATTGCGGGGGCAGGGGGGCGGGTGGTAGCAAGCAGGGGTCTGGAACCCCTAAGGACCTCCTTCCCCTGCAGTACGAGAAAGTCCTGAAGCTCACCGCCGACACCAGATTTGGTGAGTACCTCACTGACTCCACGGACCTTTGGGCATAACTCTGGCTCCTTCTGGTACAGAGGCCCTCCCCTTCCAGCAGCCCGCCCTGACCCACCTGCCTCAGCAGAGGAACCTGAGGAGAAGACATTGACAGTCCTGCCCCCAGTGTCCTCTGCCAGCAGTAACAATGCCTGTGGCTCGAGGAGGCCTGGGGTCTGTGAGCTGAAGATACTATAGGGCAACGAAAAGGTGGTTGGGGCCACAGTGACACCCCTACCCCACCCATGGGTCTTCCCAGAGTCAGGTGATGTGAAGGCCATGGTGGCAGTACTGAGTTTCATCCTCTCCAGTGCGGCCAAGCATAGTGTGGATGGCGAGTCCTTGTCCAGTGAATTGCAGCAGCTGGGGCTGCCTAAAGGTATGGGGACCTGGGAAGGCCAAGGGCTGCAGGGCTGCAAGCCAGGCTGTGTGACCGAGATGCGCCCTGCCCTCTCTGGGGCAGGAGCCTGAGACCAGCTCTCTGAGCTGCCCCAGTGCCCACCTCCCACTCAGGGGACCTCCATTCTGCCCCCAGAGCATGCAGCCTGCCTGTGTCGCTGTTACGAGGAAAAGCAAAGCCCTCTGCAGGAGCACCTGCGGGCCTGCAGCCTGCGTGGTGAGTGTCAAGCCGGCCATACTTTGGCCTCGGGTCCATTTTGGAAGATGTCTGTAGCATGGGAGGTACTTGTCCTCAGAAGATGATATGGTCACATGTCACAGTCAGAGAGCTGGCACTCTTGATTCCAGTCAGGTTTCTTTCCTCTAAGATCTGCTGTGGATAATCTGAGCTCCCAGTTGCTGAGCACGTGCTTTGGGTCAGAGGTCAAAGAAGTAATAGCTTCTCAAGACCAGACAGCTTTAAAGGGTTGACTGAGTTGAGGGGTGGGCTGAGAGCTGTCTGGCCATGAGCCTGAGAGCCCCACTCCACTTTGCAGTGAATAGGCTGGCAGGCATGGGCTGGCGGGTGGACTACATCCTGCACTCCAGCCTGTTGCAGTCTGTGGAAGAGCCTATGGTGCATCTGAGGCTGCAAGTGGCAGCTGCTCCGGATGCACCAGCCCAGGCTGTTGCCCTGTCCCTCTCAGCAGACAAGTTCCAGGTCCTCCTGGCAGGTAAGGCTCAGCTGTACTTGGGCGAGGGGAGGTGGGGGAAGGTGTAGGGGCCCTCCCAGATGCTACCTGACTGCTGCCCAACTGCCTACCTCTTGCTCTGCAGAACTGAAGCAGGCCCAGGCCCTGATGAGCAACCTGGGCTGAGGACAAGAGTGTTTGTGGCCCACATGGAGCTGCCCTACCCATGTTGAGTTGCTGCTCTCTGAACTTCTCTTCATGACCCCAGGTCCAGGACCTTGGAGGCCTGGCTTCCTGGATCTCTGGCTTTCTAGGTTCCCATGTGAGAATTCAGCATAAGGATCCCGAGGACTTTTCCAGTATTACCTTCTCTCCCCCATGAAAGATACTTGTCAGTGGTTTTCGCAAGCAGAAAGAATAAACAGAAGTGTAAAGAAGTGTGTGCATGGGTTTCTTTTTAGGTTCAGATCAAAGGTTTTTGTGAGAGATCGAGTGACATGGACCTCTGTGGCCCATCATTCATCTTCTCTTCTCAGCTGTTGATTGGAGCAGGTCGGGTGAGGCACACGAAGGACCAAATTGGAGCACTTGTCTGTAGATGGGAAAATCGGAGTTTTAGTTCCCAGTCCTCTGGTGCTCTTATCTGTGCTCCCTTTGCCAGTCTTTAGGCTGGGAGCAAGTGGTGACCCCAAGTAGAGAAAGGAGAGAGCCTTGTCTTCTGAACCGCTCATTGACTGGCAAGAGTGGTTATGAACTGAATGTGCCCACCACCTCAAATTCATATATTGAAGCCCAAACTCCTAGTGAGATGGTTTTAGGAAATGGAGTCATTGGGAGGTAATTATGTTTAGATGAGGTCAAGAGAGTGGGACCCTTATGATGTGCCTTTTCAGTCACCTTATAAGAAGAGAAAAACAGAGAGACACTCTCCACAAATGTGTACCAAGGAAAGGCCTCCAGAGAACACAGCAAGAAGTTAGGAGAGGACTCTCACCAGGAACTGAATCTGGGAGCTCCTTGATCTTAAGACTTCCAAGAATTATGGAATTATGAGAAATAGATGTCTGTTGTTAAAGCCACCCAGTTTATGGTGTTTTGTTATAGCAGCCTGAGCAGAGTAAAACAAATGGCCTCCCAGGACTGGCTTAAACCGACCAGGGTTGCTTGTAGAAAAGACTAATTCCAAGGTTGGGGGAGGTAAGAATACAAGGCAAGCCTAGAACATCTTGGGAAACAATGAGTCATGTCAAAGGGAGACAACTGGCCAAAGACTGAACAATTTAAGCATCAAAAGGATGAGGACTGACTCTGTTCCTGACTTCTGCTTTTGGAAGAGTGGAGCAGATCTGCTTTTCCTGATTCTTCCACTGTACACCTACAATCCTTGGACTGAAAGGTAGAGAGAAGGGAGACTGGCTAGGATCCTCGAGACCCAAAGAACACAGCAAAGTATTCATTAGGTTTTTTGTTTGTTTCATGTATCCTGGACTGGGTGCTAAAGAAGCAGCAATCTGGAAATGCCAACACACAGACAAAAATTTAAATAAGTAAATCCCCAACAAAAGTCTGCTCTCTCTAGCCAAAGGACCAGGGAAGAGGTGGCACAGCAAGACGGAGATCTTACAGAAGTAACCTCTGCACTTCAGCTACCTACTCAGGTTCAGCTCCCCCTCCACACAGCAGCACAGGTTGAGTAGGGTGTACATCCCCAAGGCAGTGAGGAGGCAGCCTCCCCTTCCCCTGCCGGCACTGTGTCAGAGCAGGCTGCTTTAAAAGAGGTGATTAAGATCCAGAGTCTCATAATACCCAAAATGTCCAGGATTCAATTTAAAAAATTATAACCAAGAACAAAGAAAATCTCAATTTGAAAGAGAAAAGACAATAGATGCCAACACTAAGATGACTCAGATAATAGATTTCTATCTCAATTTTTAAAGCAACCATCATGAAAGTGCTTCAAGTCTCAGCAAAGAAATAGAAGATACAAAGAACTAGAAAAATTTTAGAACTGAAATCTACAATAACCAAAGTAAAAATCCCAGTGGATGGACTTAACAGTAGAAGGAAGGTCAATAGGAATTCACCCAAGTAGAATAACAGAGAGAAAATAACTTGGAAAACAAACAAAAACAAAACAGAACCTCAGAGAACTGTAGGATTATAATAAAAGATCTAAAATTCCTGTTATCACGAAGTCCCAGAAGGTGGAGAGAAAGAGGGTGGGACAAAAAATTGAAAGAAATGATGGCTAAAAAAAACACCCCCAAAACTCCGAAATATGGGAGTTTTTTAACAGTTGAGTTAGGAAGCAGAATAGACCCCACAGAGGTCAAAACCAAAAAAATCCATGCCATAATCAAACTTCTGAAAACTAAAGAAAACCATGAAAGCAGCAAGAGAGAAATGACATCTTACCTACAAGGGGAAAACAATTAGAATAACGGTGAATTTCTGCTGTGGCTGGTGTGGCTCAGTGGATTGCATGTGAACCAAAAGTTTGCTGGTCAGATTCCCAGTCAGAGCACATGCCTGAGTTGCAGGCCAGGTACTTGGTGGGGCGCACTTGAGAGGAAACCACACATTGTTGTTCTCTCCCTCACTTTCTCCCTCCCCTCCCCTCTCTCTAAAAATAAATGCATAAAATCTTAAAGAAAAAAAAGAGTAACAGTGAATTTCTCATCAGAAATCACAGAGGCCAGGAGGAAGAAGCACAGCATTTTCAGGCCCTGAAAGAAAAGCATCAACCCAGAATTCTATATTCAGTGAAAATTAACTCAAGAATGAAAGGGGAAATCAAGACATGCTCTGATGAAGGATAACTAATATAATTTGTTATCAGCAGACCTAACCTAAAAACAAAAAGTCTAAAGGAGGATCTCTAAATAGAAGGGAAATGATAAATGAAAGAATCCTGGAAAGAGTAAGAATAGGGATACAATAGACTCCCCTTTCTCACAAATGTTTTAAATTATATTTGGCAGTTGAGGCAAGACCTGTAACAATGTTGGATGTGGATCTCAATGTATGTACAGGAAATAGTTAAGGTTATTATAAACAGGAGATGGTAAAGGGAAGTAAGCTTTCTACAGTTCACTCAAATTGACAAAATGTAGATTTCTGTATGACGTAGGTCTTCAACGTTGTCAATAGGTTCTGTAACTTGAAGTGAAATGGCATATAACAAAACCAGTTTTACCATAAGCTAATTGATATAACCAAGAGTTAAGTTCTTACAGCATCTCATCAATGTTATAATGAAATGACATTGCATGAAAGTTATTTGAGGACCCTGCTGTATATGGAGGAACCACTCCAAAATCTATACACTACAGTGTAATGCACTAAAAAACAATTTAGATACCATAACTGGAATTCTAAAAAAATGTTCAAGTAGACCGCAGGAGGGCAAGGAAAATGGGAAACAGAATAAACACAAAAAGGGGCAGACAAAAAAGTCATGAGAGTTCTAGGTCTCATCAAATGTATACTATTAGCTTCATTTCCCAGGTAGCTTTCCCTATTCCATGTTATCACAGAATCCCATATATACTTCTCTCATTGCTATTGTTAACACTGCAGTGTAATTTTGTATTTATTTATTTGTCTCTTTTACCAGCCTGAGTTTTTTAAGGACGGGAATTGTGTTCAATGTTAAAATAGCCCCAATGCCTAATAAAGTGCTCTTTCAATAAAGAGGGCAGGGGGAGAGATAAGGGCTGCAATGGATTTAAAGATGTTGAATGTAAAACAAGAAATCTGAGGCTGGTCCGTCACCACATGTGGTGGATAAAAATTTGGGAGAGATACCTCAGGAGCAAGGAGTCCCAGTCTCACACCAGGCCCCCTCAGCCCAGGGTTCCACAGCCCAGAAGTTCCACAACTTCTTGCTGCAAAAACCAGCAGGGATTGAGTTGGTGGAAGAAACTTCTGGAGCCCCAAGCAGTTCCGCTGAGAAGAAGCCACACATGGACTTATTTACTCAAGACTCACTCCCTCTGAACTCCAGCACCAGGGTAGCAGCTTGAAAAGCACTCGTGGTATACAGGGGGAGACTGCAGTGTCTGGCATCAAGGTAAGCAGACCATTGTCTCTTTTCTAAACCCTTCCCTGACAGGGCTGGCAGGCTGGTGCCATATCTGAAACTCCTTCAACCTGGCTAACACTGTTTGACCCGCCTTGGAGATCCCCAGAGACTCTGTCCCACCCAACTTACAGGTCCACCCTAGCTTCTTTCCATATGAATGTTTGGTCTTGGCTCATGCTTCACAGATTCCTAAATCCTATCAAAGAAGCAACAGCTGTCCTTACTGAGCTCCAGGACTGGCACTATCAGCAGCCAGCCTAGATTCACAGCTTGGCTTCACCTGGGAATCTCCAAGCCTAGCACAAGCAGCAGCCATCTCAAATTGCTTTATAGCTCAGGAAGGAAGCCCTGGGAAAAACACAGGTGGGTGCTGACCTTGGCCTGCACCACCTGGGAAACCCCAGGGCCAGTACACCCAGTGGACAGCTACAGATCACGTTGGAGCGCCAGCACCCTGCCCCTGCACAGCTGATCCTCCACGGAGGGCAGAGGATGGTGGTGAGTAGTCACAGCCAGTCCTTGAAGCTGACTGGCCTGGGTAAATCCCTCCCATTGATCTGCCAAGACCAACCAAGGCTCAACTATAAGAGAAGGGTGTACTCAGTCCACAAGAAGGGTGCACCTCAAGTACCCAGCTTGGGTGATAGGGGAGGCTGTGCCACTGGACCTTACAGGACACCTACTACATTAGGCCACACTACCAAGACACGGAGTCAAGGAAGCTCTACCTAATACATAGAAATAAACACAGGGAGGCTGCCAAAACGAGGAGACCAAGAAATGTGGCCCAAATGAAAGAAGAGATCAAAACTCCAGAAAAAGAGCTGAATGAAATGGAGATAAGCAATCTATCAGATGCAGAGTTCGAAACACTGGTTATAATGCCGCTCAAAGGACTTCATAAGGACCTCAACAGCATAAAATAGATCCAGTCGGAAATGAAAGGTACACTAATTTAAATGAAATAAGAATTTACAGGGAAACAACAGTAGAGTGGTTGAAGCCCAGAATCAAATCAATGATAGGAAATGTAAGGAAGCAGAAAACAACCATCAGAACAAGAAGAAGAAGAAAAAAAATCTTAATTAGGATAATATAAGCAGCCTCTGGGACAACTTTAAGAGGTCCAACCTCATACGGGTGCCAGATGGAGAAGAGAAACAGCAAGAAATTAGAACCCTATTTGAAAAAATAATGAAAGAAAAACTTCCCTAACTTGGTGAAGGAAATAGACATGCAAGTCCAGGAAACACAGAGTCCCAAACAAGATGAATGCAAAGAGGCCCACTCCAGGACACATCATACTTAAAATGCCAAAGGTTAAAAATAAAGAGAGAATCTTAAAAGCAGCGAGGGAAAAGAAGTTAGTTATCTACAGGGACATCCCCATGAGACTGTCAGCTGATTTCTCAAAAGAAACTTTGCCGGCTAGAAGGGATTGACAAGAAATATTCAAAGTCATGAAAAGTAGGCTACCTACAGCCAAGACTGTTCTATCCAGCAAAGCTATTATTTAGGATCGAAGGGCAGATAAAGAACTTCCCAGACAAGAAAAAACTGAGGGAGTTCATCGTCACCAAACCATTATTATATGAAAAGTTAAAGGGACTTATTTAAGAAAAAGAAGATCAAAACTATGAACAATAAAATGGCAAAAAATTTACAAATCTATCAGCAATTGAATCTAAAAAAACCAAACTAAACCATGATTTGTGTGACTTGGTGGATTGAATGCTGGTCTGCGAACCAAAGGGTTACCAGTTTGATTCCCAGTCAGGGCACACGCCTGGGTTGCAGGCCAGGTCCCGTGTTGGGGGTGTACAAGAGGCAACTGGTTGATGTACCTCTCACACATTGACGTTTCTCTCCTTCTGTTTATCCCTCTTTTCCCATCTCTCTAAAAATAAACAAAAATATTTTTTAAAAAACAAACTAAGCAAACAAGACAAACAGAGACAGAATCACGGATACGGAGAGCATTTTGATGGTTTCTAGATGTGAAGAAGGTGTAGGGGAATGGGTGAGGAGGTGAGAGGATTAAGAAGTACAGAGAGGTAGTTAATGAACAGCCATGGGGATGTTAAGTACAGTACAGGAAATGAAATAGCCAATGAAACTTTATTCATGACCCATGGACATGAACAATGATGTGGGGATTGCCTGAGTGGGGGATGATGGGTGGGGGTGGGGGGGAAATCAGGACAGCTGTAAGCATAATCAATAAAATATAATGTAAAAAAAATCTGAGTCCATAAAAAATCCCTGCCCCTTCCTCCAAAAGCCCCAAATCAATCCTAATTTGTCACCATTGGATCTTTTTATTGCACTAAATTCTTAGTCTGAAAATTGATCATTAAAGGGAAGGAATTCAGAATTTATCCTGTCCTTTTAGTATTTCAGGATAACCAAATAGCTCTAGTCAATGAAGTAAAGCTCTTCTTTAGAGAAAAAGTCCAACTAATATAGAAGGAATGACAGAATTAGAAATCAACTATTTTGTGACTCCCAATTAAATACTTTGTTGAGGCAGGATTATCAAGGATGCTGAAGTCATACGGTGAAAAGTGAATATGATGTAAAACTGAGTATTTGTGTGGTGCCAAACAATCACCTCAAACAACCCAATGTCCTTTGGCTGGTAAGTAAGTAAACACACTGATATGACCACATAGTGGAATACTACTCAGCAATGAAAAGGAATGAATGATAAGCATAACAGTCTGGATGGGTCTCAAATACATCATACTAAGAGAAAGAAAGCAGACTTGAGGTATGTCAACTATAATTGAAAAATAATTTTTTAAATAAAACAAACCGCTAAGTTGTATGCCTGCAGTCAATACAAAATAATAATAAAAGTAAACTGTAATTGAAAAATTTAAAACATTTTAAAAAGAGGTATCAAATAATTGAAAATTTAAAAAAATTTTAAAAACTGGTGTCAAGTACACACAGCATTTCATAATGGTTTGCTTTCTAAGCATTTCCACGGATAGACTGCATTAATCTATCCATCTGCATTAATTAATCCATCATGAATTAACCTTCTAGAGTACTATTACACTGTTATAATTATTTAATCAATAAATAAATTTCTTATATTTATTTAGAAATGAAGAAAACACACAAAGAGAAATCAGACTCAAATGGCTACATACTAAGGATTGCATTTATATGGTATTATGGAAAAGGCAAAACTATAGGGACAAGAAAGCAGATCAGTGATTGCCAGGGCATAGGGTGAAGGTGTTGATTATAAAGGTGCAGGGGCAAATCTTTTTTTAGGGGGGCAGTGATGGGAATGTATTATCTTCTGATTGTGGCAATGGTTCCATGAGTGTATGTATTTATCAAAACTTCCATTCTAAAAGGTGAATTTTACTGTATGTAAATTATACCTTAATTTAAACAAAAAGTGACAAACCAAACACGTATCACCTCCATAGATTACTTAGTGGTCAGAAGGTGTAAAATATATCTTTACTGCACAGAGGTCTGGCTGTCACAGCCTCATCTGTGATCACTTTCAGCCTCACTAAAGTGGGACAACCAGCTATTGGGTGCCTCCTGCTCTTAATGTGATGGAATCTGCAGTACAGAGCAGCATCCTGGAATACATGCAGCCAATCCTTTGGATCTGATTCCCGGTGTGCAGGAAAAACTAGATAGAGGAACAAGTCTGAGGAATGTTTGAGGAAACATTCAGAAAATCCCAGAATGTGATGGGGCATCTTAAAGAACAACTGGATGGGACTCATCAGAAAGATCAGTATCATGGAAACGAAAAGTGGGTGAGATGGGAGGGTGGGGATGATGATTTCATCTAGATTAAAAATGATTATAAACACACACACACACACACACACACACACACACACACACACATACACACACAAAAGCTTTGTGCAGTGGCGGTATTGCAGCCAATGAGATTTACCAAGATGCAATCATTACTAAGTGAACATTTTCCCCAATACCCTGCCATGACAACTTGAAACATAGTTGGCATTGGCAATTTTTGACAGTCTCTATAAAGACTGAGGAAAGAAAGGGCATATAGTCCTTGATTGGATTCTACCTTGAACAAATAGCTATAAAAGACATTTTGGGGACTAATTTGAATGTGGACTAGGTGTTAGATGATATTAAGGAGTTATTGTTAAATGTATTAAGTATGATAAAGGCAGAGATTTTCAACCAGCGTGCAGTAGCACACTGACGTGCTGCAAGAATGTTCACAACATGCAATACCCGACTATTCAGTCAGGAGAACTGACTTCTTTTCTCTTAGATTGTTAAATAAAAAAAATTACAACAGCCAACAAACAATAGCTGTCTGGTGTGAATGAATAAAAATTATACCTATTTTTTTTGGTCAGATAGGCAAAAACAAAGTAAACTTTTTGGTGTGCCACAGAATTTTAGTAATTAGTTTACACGTGCTATGAGGTCAAAAGATTGAAAATCTGTGGATAAATGTATTGTGGCTTTGTAGAAAATTGCTTTTTAGAGAGGCATGCTGAGCTTTTAGGGATGAAATGCCATAATTTAATTTACTTTAAAATACTTCTGCCAAAACAAATGAATTAATAGATGTAGAGGGGATGAGGCAGAAGTCCTAGTATGAAGGGGAAAAATCATGTCTATGGATCAAGCACACTGGATGAAATGCAAACTCCTTACAGAGGTCCCTGAGGCCTGACCTGAACGTGCTTGTGTTTGTCCTCACATCCCAGCACTCTCACAGCTACACTCCAGCCACACAGGCCTTCTTTCAATAAGCCAATTGCTCCCCTTCCTCCAGGCCTTTGCATTGGTCATCCTTTCCACCTCGCATGTTATCTTTATTTTATTTTTATAATACCTTATTAAGAGTTTATTATAAATTCGTTTCACAGGTCACAAGGAAATAAAAGGACTATGTAAAGTCATTTGGGAAACGGAGCTGAGGAAGGCAAAGATGAGTCTAGGGCTTTGGTGGGCACATCCCCTGGGGAGGGAGCCCTACAAGGGAAACTAAACAATCTGGTGAGACTCCAGGCATAACAAATAAACAAGTCTGTGATATCGTGGCCCTGGGGACCTGAGCCCACACCTCTGTAGAGTTACTTCCGTAACTCTGTGGCCAAGGGTCAAAGAAGTCCTCGAATCCCTGGGAGAGGGGTCTGCATTCCTGGAGGGGACCTGCCCATTGAAGTTCCTCGTCCAGGGGGATCCCCACGGGGGGACCCATGAGGCTTCATACCAGGAGGTGGGACCATGGTGCCTGGAGGTGGGAGAGGACACCGTGGCCAGGCGGGTACTGGGTTGAGGCCCCTGCAATACAGCAGCTGCAACAATGCCTATTTTTTGTAGGGTCATCATCTGTTGGGATGACCCACCAACCCCAGGGACTGGCCCAGTAAGTCCTGCAGGGGCCAGGGGCATGGGAACACCAGCTAGGGATTCCTCTGCCAGCAGCCCTGCCCATTCCTGGGCCCCTTGCAGTTCCAGCAAGTGGCACTCAGGCAATGCCAGTACCTTTGGGAGGTCCCTCTACTGTGTCTAGGACCAGGTTCTCCCCTCGAAGCTGCTGAAGACCGAGGATTTGCTTTGCTTTTCTCTTTTGCTTGAGTTCTTCGGTTTGATCTTCCTGAATTCATCACAATTACATTGGATCAAATTCGTATGTTTGTTGAAAGCCTTGAAGGTGCAGATGAAGACACACTGTCTTGCAGGATGCACCTCATCCCATAGTTGATGCACGGCAGCATCTTGCTGCTCTTGCCTGCAGTCACGGTGGCGGTTTTGAGACCTCCAATTCCCCCTGGCATGTTGTCTTGTCCCCAGTCTTTGATGGCTACTTCTGAGGTCTCAGCCTAAATGTCTCTGAAGGGAGACTGTCCCCTACAAAACTGTCTGATGTGGGTTCTGCTTCTTCGCCTGTTTTTTTTGTCACTTGGCTGCACTTCTCACCCACAGGTGGTAGAGATGTTTCTGTTTGTAAGTTATGTTTGACTGTGTGTTGATACTTAGGGCCACCACCAGGTCCCCAGGGCCTTCGTTTATAGTGCACCTGTGTGCTCCCTCTGCACATCTGGCAAGGAGCCTCTGCTTGGAGACCTGGCTTCTGTTTCAGGTTTGGGAGTACCGACCCTGCCACTAGCCTAGTGACTTCCGCAGCAAGAGACAGCTGCGACAAAGGACCTCGGACCTGACCGCCGATCCCGACGGTGCCACCCTCCTAGCCAGGTGACTGCTCCAAAGCTCTTCCCACACGCCAAACCGCCGCAGCTCGGGGACCCCACGCCGAGGGCCTTTGCCCCCTGCCCGAGGAACTACATTTCCCAGCGGGCGCTGGAGTAGCAACCACAGCTCCCGACGTGCTTCGCCCGCGGCTTTAACTCCTTCGTGGCTGCAGGTTGGCGGAGCGGAGGACGACCTCGGGGGTGTGTACCGCAGATTGCAGAGAGGATTGGGTTTGGGGGCTTTGGGGAAAAAGGGAACCAAGGTGTACCGAGGACCGACAGCAGGGGTGAGTGGTGAGGATGGGGAAAGCGGGCCATGGAGTGCCCGCCCTTACCGGAATTGGGAATCGGGACTTTGTCCCGCAGATGGAGTCCTCGGGCGCCAGGTCCTGGACGGTGCGAAGGTGGGGGAGGAGGAAGCGGGGTGTATCCTGGCTAAACTCCCCCTCTGCCCGACGGCAACTGTGCCTTCGATCCCGCCGCGTCGGCGAGGAGAGGGGGAAAATGAACGCTCCCCTTCCCCGTCAAGTGGGCAGAGGTAGGGAGAGCTGGAGTGGGTTCTCCGACCCTGGCGCTGACCTGGGAGTGTCCTGTTCCGTTCTGAATCTCAGGGAGACCTTATTGGCGACCCTGTCTTCCTCCCTCGCTGCTGCGGGGACCTTGGCTCCAGCCTAGACGTATCTCGGGACACCTGCATCCCCTCCAGTCTGTCCAGGCTCCGGTCCTAAGTGGTCCTAATTACCAGCTGAGCCTCTGAGTGTGTTTTCCCAGCTCCCAACTCCCAAGTGGGGTCAGGCCCATTCCCTCAGCGATTGTGGCAACGGATGAGGTTGGTTCTGAATGTCAGGCTGGTGAACAAGCCAAGCTTCCACTGGGGAGGAAGTGTAGGTTGAGGTAGACAATAGTAAGACAATTTCAGATTTGGGAGAGCCTTGACGAAAACGAGTCTGGGGGAGGTGGGGAGGCTACTTTGGAAGGGTGGTGAGGGAGGGCAACTCAAGCGTTCCCAGACTGAGGGGACAGCAGGGGCAAAGGTGTGGGGATGGCAAGAGCAGCATGCTTGCAGCTAGTGAGTGAGGGAGCGCCTAGGAGCCAGATGACAGTGTGGGCCCACGAAGGATCTGGACTGTATTCTAAAAAGCTGCAAGGGTTCATGGGAGCCCGTCTTGGAAGGTGTTAACAAGACTGGAGCTCCCCAATGCCGCCGGCTTTCCCAGCATTTTCAGGTGGGGGCCAAGGGCTGTGGCCAGGCCAAGAGAATTTCCTGCAAAACCTGCCAGTCCAGGGTCCCCTCTGATCCTCAGGTCCTCCTGTGTAAAATAGGGGTGATAAATCCTACTTCACAAGGTGCACACCTGATCCAACTTGCAGTTCTCCTCCCTCCACAGGGCCTGCCCGCTCCTGGCACAGAATGCCTGAGGGCCCTGAGCTGCAGTTGGCCAGCCACTTTGTGAATAAGGCATGCAAGGGGCTGGTGTTTGGCGGGTGTGTGGAGAAGTCACCCGTCAGCCGCAACCCTGAGGTGCCTTTTGAGAGCAGTGCCTATTACATCTCAGCCTCAGCCCGGGGCAAGGAGCTTCGCCTGACACTGAGCCCCCTGCCTGGGGCCCAGCCCCCACAGGAGCCACTGGCCCTTATCTTCCACTTCGGTATGTCTGGGTCCTTCCAGCTGGTACCCAGCAATGCGCTACCACCCCATGCCCATCTGCGCTTTTACACAGCTCCTCCTGGCCCCAGACTTGTCCTCTGCTTCGTGGACATCCGCCGCTTCGGGCACTGGGACATCGGAGGCAAGTGGCAGCCAGGCCGTGGGCCATGTGTCTTGCTGGAGTACCAGCAGTTCAGGTAGGTAGAGCTGGCCCCAGGTGTGATGAGCACAGGCCTGGGCTCTGGGCTTGACTCTGTTAGTGCCTCGTTGGCCACTTAAGTGTCAATCCCAGCCCCTTCTGAGCCCAGTCCCTTCCTCTCTAGACTTCCCTGGGGACAGCTCCCAGAGCTAATGGATGTGGAAAACTAAAATTGTTATGGGAGGTGGCAGCAAGTGGTGCCCTGAAGACATAGCCAGTTACTGTGAACTGAGTCTGGATCAGCACCCCACACTGCTTCTAGGTACCCTCAGGAGGCTAAGAAGAAAGGAAAAGAGGCTTTAACAACATGAAAGAAGGGTGGCTGAGAAGGAAGTGTTTCAAGGTGGTGGGGCAGGGACTGCTTAATGATGTGGTTTCCGAGTCAGGTCGTGTAGTCTCCCACGTTTGCCCACCCACTGGTTTGTGTCCCATGGTTTCCTTTGTCTTCTGCCTGTGGGGGGTAGGTGGGTAACAGCCCTACCTGGATGTGTTGCATGTCACATAAGATGGCACAGGGTCAGTCACCTCCCTTCCTCTAAACAGGAAATGTCTATGAGTGTCTGCTTTGTGCCAGACCCGGTTCTAGGTGTTGGAGGTACAGCAGTGATCAAGATGGATATTGTCCCAGCTCCCATAGAGCTGAAGTTCAGGCAGGGCATGGGGAGGGGGTCAAGGAAACAAACTAGATGAATTCACATAGACACACACACATTCCTGAAAAATCCAAGAGGGAGAGAATTACTTGGCCAGGGAGTGGAGGGGTGGGGGTGGGGCATTAGGAAAGGCCACTCCAGGAGGTGACATTTGAGCTGAGGCCTGCCTGAGAGCCAGCCATGCAAAGATCTGGAAGAAAAGCATTCAAACTGACTGACCAGAATCACAGGTGCAAAGATCTGGAGCACGTTTGGTGGATCCTCCCTTCCTTAGGGACAGCCCACCTTCACTTTGTCCTTAGGAGATGTACTGCCCACTGTGGTGGGTCAGGCCATGTCTGGTGCCACAGAAGGCAGCTGACTCCTGGCCTTCTCAGGCATGACCCCAAAGTGCACCTGCAGGAAACATCTGTGGTCCTAGATGCCTCAACCTCACCACTCCTGGGGAGTCATGCCACAGGTTAACTGTTCCAGCTGGCGCTGAAGTTACTCTCAAACAATGAACATCTCAGTGTTTTCTTGATCCTATAGCTGGGGAGACTGTGGGGATCTGCTCCCTTCAGGGAGCTAGCCACCCAGGCCAACCTTCCACTCTTTTACCCAAAAGTCCTGTATTCTGGTCCCCCATTTCCTAGGCTCCTCAGGCCCACCACTGAGTCAGTTTTGCCATGATCCTTTCCCACAAAGATGCATTTCCTCTTCACAGTGGTGAGAGATCCATGATGCTTGGAGGTGGGGCAGGGGCTGCTGGGCCCTCAGTAGCCAGGACTTGCTCCCGCACACTTGCTGCACAGAGCTAGTACTAGCCTCCTTAAAATCTTCACGTCTTGAGAAGAACAGACCCTTCAATGTCAACTCTTCATATTTAACCATCCCAAAGTCCTGGACAGGGATCTCCAGACTGCAGGCATATCTGAGGTCCTGGTGATCACCTTGCTCTCAAAAATGTCTGGAGTTTGAGGTACTGTGGCGACATACACACAACAGATACAGACTCACGTGCGTCCCCTTGAACTTGTTGCTCTTGATTGTAATTTTCCACCTTTTATAGTGAATTAAAACCCCATATTGTTGTTCTCATTTAACGGACTAGGAAAACTGAGGTTCCCACTGCCAAAATAGCACTGGGCTGGGGAATGGGAAACTAGGACTCCTAATTTCCTTTCCTTTGAATATAGGAATAGGTTCTCCCAGCTCCTCTATGCCATCCTATGGCAAGGTGTGTGTTGGGAGTGGAGAGGGGGAAAGGATGAAAGGGCAGAGTGGGGCTCATGTGCTCAGGCCATGTCCCTCCAGGGAGAATGTGTTACAAAACCTCGCGGACAAGGTCTTCGACCGGCCCATATGCGAGGCCCTCCTGGACCAGCGGTTCTTCAATGGCATTGGCAACTACCTGCGGGCAGAGATTCTCTACAGGTTAGCAGGCAGGCCATGGGCAGGAGGGTAGGCTGGGTGCCCATAGTACCCATTGCTTAGCATGGCTCCCTCCACCCCACTGCAGGCTGAAGATACCCCCCTTTGAGAAGGCCCGCACTGTTCTAGAGGCGCTGAAGCAGCACAGGCTGGTGAGGGTGCAGGGGAGGGAGGTATACTCACACATCAGCCAGGGCTGACAGGGTATGGGCTGAGTCAGGTATCTCCGTATCTCCACTGTCACCCAAACAGGCCCTTAGTTTGTTTTTCCTTCTCTACAATGTATGTGTGCATGTGTGTGCACACTCTTGGGTAGGAGGAGGATGAATGAGCTCTAGTCCTGCCAACCTCAGAGAAAGTCTGCTCCTGGTGGGGTCAGCCATCCTCTGAGTGCCCTTATGGCAGGCTGACAGCCAGACCCTGTCCCTGCCTTCTCTCCAGAGCCCGGAACTGACCCTGAGCCAGAAGATCAGAGCCAAGCTGCAGAACCCAGATCTGCTGGAGCTATGCCACTCAGTGCCCAAAGAAGTGGTCCAGCTAGGTAAGGCCTGCTGGGCAAAGATGACCAACTACCTCTGCTTTGGCATACTGTATAACCCCAGGACAGCTGCTGCCCCTCTCTGGGCCTAGTTCCCTGCCTGGGGAATGAAAGTTTATAGACACAGTTGTTAAATGGACCAGGCCTCCTCACTTGTCAGGTGTCTACGTCCTCGGCAAGATGCCTACGAGACAGGCAGTACAAGGATTGTTAACCCCTCTCCAGGATGGGCAAGCCATGGCCCAGAGTGGGAAAGGCACCAGCCTGAGGTCACACAGCTAGAGAAGGGAGAGCCTTGGTCTCTGACTCAGTCCCTCAAGCTCCCCATCCTTCCAGCCTGAGACTGACCTCTGCCTGGCTCCTCTGTCCACAGGGGGCAAGGGCTACGGGCAGAAGAGTGGGGAGGAGGACTTTGCAGCCTTTCGAGCCTGGCTGCAGTGCTACTGCATGGCGGGCATGAGCTCCTTGCGGGACCGGCACGGCCGCACCATCTGGTTCCAGGTTTGGGTCCTAATGCTCACATAGAATACTGAGATCCCAAAGAGGTGTGTGTGTGGTAGAGACCTGAGGTCACAGGTGGGCAGGAGATGGGGTCTGTGTCTAGGTCCCCAGTTGTCACACTGTCCCTGAGGGTCTAAGCCTTCCCTATGCCATGCCCCTCCCCTCCTGTAAGTCCCAGGCTATCAGGTAGTAGAGCAGGCCAAGGCAGTGTGGCTTTGATGTTGGCTCTGACCAGGCAGGGAGTGGGCAGTCAGAGGGGCTTTGCAGAGGAGGAACCACACTGATCTGGAAAGAGGTTTTGAGTCCTGCCTCTCCAAGGAAAATGACCCCTGTCCCAGCCAGGCTGATTACTGAATTCTCCCTGTTCCATTTTAGGGGGATCCTGGACCTTTAGCACCCAGAGGTAAGCTACTCCTAATATAATAAGCTAAAAGAACAGAATGGGCAAGTTGTCTGCAAGGGTTGCAGCTGACCCCAGTCCCCATTCCAACCCTGGGAATCACCCCAGAGTGGGAAAGTGGGAGTCTGGAGAAAGCACCCAAGGCCGTAGGACCTTGTAACTCCAGCATCAGTGTCCTTCAGGGGGCATGTCCCATAAGAAGAAATCCAAGGGATCACAGCAGAGTTCCAAGGACAGAAGGGAGGTATGACTCCCTGCTCCTAACTCCTGCCTGCACTGGCCGCACTTCCCCAGGGCTGGCTTTTGGGCAGCTGCCTTCCATTGACTATAGCGGGGTAGGGGAATGGGGGTGGGGGGTGGATGGTGGGCCCCCAACCAACCTCTGAACTGCTGTGAGCACGTCAGGAACCTGTGTCTCCTCCACCCAGGACCCTCCACCCCCAAACAAGGCTCCTTCCAGGTCACGAAGAGCACGAAGAGGCCTTCCTGAGCAAACTGCAGCCCAGCAGCCAGAGGGGACCAGCCTCCAACAGGACCCAAAAGTCCTCCCAGTCACTGAGAAAGGAAAGAGGAAGGGGCGATGGGCAAACTCCGGTAGGCTGTCCTCCAAGAGGGGCTTTCCCGAAGGAAAGGATGACAGCATGGGCAGTAGTTACAGGTGGACAAAGGTGGGGGGAAGGCTGCCGGGGCAGTCCTGAACCTGGGGTCTGAGCTGGAACCTCACCTGTCCTCCCCCTAGGCTGCTGCAGACCCCAAAAGATCAAGACTGACACCCCATCTTTGGAGCCCCAGGGGACTTCAGCCTCTTAGCTGCATTATGCCTTCCTGCTGCCTTGCCCTGGATCTGGGGCCTGTATGGCTTCCTAGAAGCAGAGAGTAGCTGAAGGGGGCTGGATGCGTGTGGTCCTGTGGTTGTTCCCTACACAACTATGATTTTTAAATTCCATCTCACCGTCCCCATTTCTTAAGACCACATGAAAAATGCTGTATTTTTAAATATATATATATATAAATTGATAAACTTCTTGGGACTAGGATGCCCAAGTTAGGGGGGCCTGTTTCCTGGTCCTCAGTACAAGAGGGCTACCTCCCCAGCAAGACAAACCGAGCCTCAAGGCCCTGACTGTCAGAGGACAGCCTGTGTCTGCAGGGACAGGCCCCCATGGGTGGTGCAGAGAACCTGGCCCCAGGCTAGGCTCCATAGCGCCTCCGGTCCAGGATTCTTCAGGGCCCGTGGCTATACCCCCCAGCCTGGCCCCAACTAGGCAATGCTCCCTTCCTAGTGGGGCTAGCTGGGACCCACCCAGCCCCAGGCCCTGCCTGCTGACATAGGGAGGAGCTTCTTACCTCCTGTTCTCTTATCTTGTCGTCATCATATCTTCACTCTCATAGGGGCTACAACCCAGACCCTGTACACACAGGCTGCCTTAGATTTTGCCCCTGGGGAAAATCCCTGGGGAAAAGCCTTCTCCCCACAAATGGAGAAGATGGGCCCTAAGGGGAGACAGCAGGAGTTACTAGCTGGGTTCCTGAGACAAGGATTTATTGCTCAAGAGGCCACACATCCTTGCTTCGGGCCAAGAAGGCAGCCCCCAAAACTTTCCACAAATAGTCTCCACCCTTAGGGACTCAGTTCAGGAGGAGGTTGCAGCACTAGCAACAGAGACTGCACTTGGAAGGGAGAAAAGGTAAGCTTCAGGCGGGCATCCCTAAGGGGCAGGTGGCCAGCAGGGTCTTGGTGCTCCAGGAGGTCGCAGCTGCAGAACAGGAGGAGCCATGAGGACCCCATGAGGACCCCTTGAGGACCCCATGAGGGCAGGACTCCCACCCTCACCCCACACCATACTCACAGGATGGCCTCCTGAACTGGCAGCGAAGTGTGTAGCCAGCAGTCCACGTGGCTGCCATGGGCCTCGTACAGCCTGAGCACCAGCACGCGGCCCTCGGGATTGGTTTCTGCCTGGGGAGAGAAGGGGACAGTGGGTGGGGACAAGGTCGGAAGCAGCCCTTACCCTACTCTGCCCCACCCCGCTCCTTGCATTACCTTCTTAACTGTCTCTAGCACCACTGCAGGGGAGGACACAGTGAAAGCGCTCCAGGCAGACACAGGTGCCCGGCCTGGGGTGGGAAGCACCAGCAGCGGGAAGTTGAGGCTGTAGGCTGCTTGGATAACACCAGCATCCTGGAAGGAGCCTGGGCAAGGGCCAGAAAGGAATGCATGATGTAAAAAGAGGGTAGGGCCACAGGGCAGCTCCCCGCCCCCGAAAAGCAGAGAAGGGGCGAGGCAGCACTCACCCATGTGCGGCATCAGCGCATATGTGAACTCATGGCGCCCCATGTCAGCAGTGGCATCGGGGGCCTTTGGAGCCCGCAGGCTGTGGGGAAGGTGAAAATGAGCCAGGCTAGAGTTTTGGCCCTGGAAGACCTACCCCAATGCTGGCCCCAGGTCTGGCGGGCACACCACTCACAGCGAGAGGCTAAGGACGCTGTTCCGAACTGATGCACCATACTTGCAGTCATTGAGCAGGGCCAGCCCAAAACCGTGTTCTGACAGGTCCATCCAGCGGTGGGCCCACACCTGGAGGACACATTCCAGACCCACTTGGTGTCCCTTTTTCCTTTTCCTCCAGTCACTGGAGTAAAGGCAAGCTCTGGGACCCCAGGACTGAATGCCAGCTCTCACAATAGAAGGCCGTGAACACATCACCCAAACCATCTATGCCTCAGCTCCCCATTTGTGAAATGGGGACAATTAGTACTCAGCCCACCAAATGGGCATGAGTATCAAATTAAACATAAAGAATTTAGTGCAATGCCTGGCACACATCAGGAACTAGCAAATACTGTTCCTCCTCCTCACCACCCCATTCCATTATGACTAGTTTCTCCCCAGCCAGGGAGAACCTAACCCGCCTCCCTGACACCCATGTCAGACCTCAAACCGTGCCCAGTCCCAAGAGGTGTTGTAGTGGGTGGGCCGCTGCAAATGCCCGAACTGGACCTCATAGGTGGCCTGGTTGCTCCGCACACGGGCAGGGAACTCCACCTTCAGGAATTTGTGGGCTTCATGCCAGTGCACCTAGGGTGGGGTCAAAGGTGAGCGGAGGAAGACACAGGCCTGGGGTGGCCCCTCCTTACCAGCCACACCTAGGGAAGGGCAGCCCCATGCTACCTCAGTGTGGAAGCGGACATAGGGGCAACCAACATCCAGGACAACCTCCTGGCTGAGCCGGCTATTGGGGCTGATCTGTAGCAGGAACCAGGCACTGCCCCGCATGCCGCCCTCAGTGCCCACGGCCAGAGTCCCTGCCTGGCCCAGCACTGGCTTCCTGGGGGGTAGAGGTGTAAGGTGCTGAGCTGGGGCCAGTTGATGGAGGGCCCAATAGACCTGTATGGCCCTGCCCCTCACACCCTGCCATCCCATACCGTGTCTCCAGGTGGTAATCCATGACATCCCACGCATCCCAGTACAGAGGGACATCATCAAACAGCACAAACTGGTTCCCCACGGCACCCTCAGCAATAGCCTCTCTGGAAGGAGATGGAAATTGGTGTTTTACAACTGTTATGACCTTGGTCTCTCCAGATGCCCAAGGTGGGGTGGTGGCAGGGTAGACCCAGGGGACAAGGGCTTCCCCAGCCCAGTGCCACAGGTGGGCTGCTGTGGCCAGAGGACAGAAGGAACAAGTTCTGGGATCCACCTGCCAGATCCTGGGAGAAGGCAGTGGGGGTTTGGCACCTGCCAGAGGCCACCAGCACCAGGGATGATAGGCGGCCAGTCGGGTCCAGCTTCACCCGGATGATTCCATTGTCCAGAGTCACAGAACCGTCAGTCTTGGCAGAAGGGGGCCTTGACACTGAGTTGGCAGTCGCTTCCCACAACCAACAGCCTCCCACCCCAGCTCCATCTCACCACTTGCTCCAGTTTGGGGAGCTCAGAACCCCCATGTTGTTAAGGATGTTCCATGACAGCCCTGACCTACCTGGACACGCCAGCACTCACCTCTTGCACAACACACACAGGCTGCTGGGGCAGCAGGGGCTGCGGTGAGGTGGGGGCAGGAGCGGGAGCATAACCCATGCTGGGCACTGTCACCAGGGCTGGAGATGAGGCCTGGGCATCAGTGCAGCCTCTCTGAACTTCCAGGGGCCTCTCTCTGGGATGTGGGGATACTACTAATGCTACTCTCCAGCCTGGGGCACCCCAGAGCAGAGACCCCCCAGGGGAGTGTTCCTGACCCTTGGTCTGGCCTCCTCTCCTCCTGTTGCAGCAGAACCCCCCGCCGCCCCCGCTCTGCCCCCGTACCTAGGCTGTGGGCCCCCCCAGGTCTGGGCAGGGCCAAAACTTCAGTCCGCTTCCAGGGTAGTGTGTTGACAATGAGGAGGCCCTCAGGACCTGGTTCTCCAGCACACAGGGCTACAGCTGCAGCATTGAGTAGTTTGTTGCCATGGGAACGGATATCTGAGGAGAAACTGATTGGTCACGAGTGGGCAATGGGTCAGGGATGAACTGAGGGTCATTTAGGTGACACTCTGGGCTCAGCCCTGGGTATTGAAAGAACAGTGGGACTGTTCTCAGCCTAACCTTCATAGTGGCACATGGCTTCCTCTGCCACCAGCTGAATGCAGCTTCCAGTCACCACATCATGGAACTGGTTCAGGAGCAGGAGCCTGCAGGGGTCAAGGGCAGAGATGGGGAAAGGCAGGAGGGTGGGAAGAAGGAAGGCTGGGAGGGGCAGCCACAGGGGTCTCTGGGTGGAGTCAGGTGGGGTGATGGGCAGACCCAGGCTGACCTCCAGAGGCCCTGCAGCTGGGCTGCTGGGTACAGGAACTGGGCGCTGCGGACCAGGGCCAGGCTGCTGAGCAGCTCCACGTCGTGCAGGATGCGCTCACACTCCCGGTTCCCCTTCTTGATCTGAGCCCGGGCCAGCAAGGCAAGGAGGGTGAGTCTAGAACCTGCTCAAGTATCCCAGAACACCTTCCAAAGCCTTCCATGGTTCAGAACACCTGGTGGCTCCCTAGGACCTCCTGGATAAAGCCTCTTGTGGGTGACATATCCCAAATGCCTCCCACCCTCAGCGCAAGCCTCCGCCAGGCTCCTGATTGACCCGGCTCTTGCACTTCTCTCAACTCATTGGAGCACAAGCCTCCTCCCTCAGACCTGGGTGGGCTCTGTCCTGTTTCTTTCACTGGCCCTCTAAAGAGCATGAGCACACTCTCCCTGCTCAGCTCGGTGAGTAGCCCCTGACCTGGGCATGGGTGGTGTAGGTGCCATTATGCAGCTCCAGGAAGAGCTCCCCAACCCATGTGCACAGCCGCTCTGAGTCGCTCTCCAGCGCCGAAAAGAGTCGCCTCGGAGAAGACAGCTGCACCCTGAGGGAGACTGCAAGCCTGGGTCCCCCAGACTTGGCGGGGGAGGGCCCATCTGGCTTACCCGTCACCCATACTAGGAGAGACGAGAGATCCAGTCCCTAAAGAAAGGAGCTGCCCCCAGAATGCTGTCTACACAAAACCAGCTCTGGAACCCTCAGGAGAGTTTCTCTCTCTGGTGAGTTTAAGCTCCTTCCCACCCTCAGCTTTCACCCTACCTCACCCCCAAGGTAGAAGTTGGAAGGAACCCACAGTCCAGGGTTGAAGCAGGACAGGCCCAGTGGATGGGTGGGGTCAAATGTTTGACTAGAAAGAAGGGCTAAAGAAAAGGCAGTTCTAATTGAGCAGTTCAGTGAGGGTTGTCAGTGGGCCAGGCCTGACCTGGGCAGCCCATCTGTATTGTACAACCGCTTCAAGCGGTCCACCATGTTCTGGGTGGGGCCACCGCCCCCATCCCCAAAGCCGAAGAGGAAGGCACTGTGGTTGGTCCGTCCTTTGTCCCGGTTTTTGGCCACGGTCTTTAGTACCTGGACAGGCAGGGACAGGTCAGCATGGATCAACCTAGGACAGGACACCCAGCCTCTCCAACCTACCTCCCTGGCCCCATCTCGGTCACTAGGAACCCTCTCACCTCCTCTACACTGCCCTCCATCCCATATGAGTCACCAGGTGGGAAGTGAGCCAGCACACGGGAGCCATCCAGCCCTTCCCAGAAAAAGGTATGGTGCTGCAGGCAGGAAGAAGCAGAGGAGAGAGGCTAGTGTCAGGGCTGAGGCAGAGCTGGGCATTCCGCGCCTGCCCTGCCCCTAGTGTGCCCTTGGAGGAGGCACACCCTCTCTGGGTGGGGGTTGGGTGGTTTGCCCAGGACCTCTAAATAAGCCTGTGGAGAGATGAATGGGCCAGGTGGTACCCAGACCCACTCTAATGTGACACCCTGGGGTCTCCTCACCGGGAAGGAGTTCACCAAGTTCCAGCTCAGTTTCTGAGTCAGGAAGTGCCTGATGCCACAGCTGCGCATGATCTGAGGAAGCTGTGCTGAGTAGCCAAATGTGTCTGGCAGCCAAAACTGCAGGAAAAGGGCCTCTGGGGCATGAGAACTAGGGCTCTTGGCAGAGTGGCCCCAGCCTCAGCCCCTCATCTCTCCATGTCAAGCTCTAGCCCAATCTGCCTGAAGGGATAGCAACTCCCAGCTTACCTCAGAGCACATCTTCCCAAACTCCTGCAGGAAGAAGTTCTGGCCCTGTAGGAACTGCCTCACCATGGCCTCTCCACTGGGAATGTTCCCATCCTGGCAGTGAGGGAAGCGGGGATCAGCACCAGATGGGGAAGAGATGGGAGCTCAGGCCAACCCCGCCCCATCAGGAGAAGCCATGGCTCTGACCCACGGGTTATGGCTACCACCCAGGGATGTGTATCTCCTGGTTTCAGACCCATCTATCTGTTGGAGGGGGAGTTTCTGGGCTGGATCATGCAAACAGCCCATCACCTTGCTTGAGACCCTTCACCCACTTCAAGTCCCAGGACTTGGAATTACAGGGACTAATAAGCACTGCTACGGACGGGTTGTGAAGGACCTGAAGAAAACTGAGGAGGGAAGCCCTAGGTTGATGGTGCACAGGCTGCACTTACCATCTCCACCCAGGTGCCCCCTACAGGCACAAACTGCCCATGGCAGGCAAACTCCTGGAGCCGGGCATACAGGCCAGGGTAGTGGTTCTTTACCCATTCGAGCTGCTGCGCCTGGGAGGCAGATGGGGCAGGAGCTGTGCCAGGAGTGACAAGAACCCCAGCCAGGTCCCAGAATCTGGGATCCAGTGAGCAGCTGAAGGGAGGGAAAAGCCCTGTCCCACAGGCTGGGGAGGTCCTTAGAACCTCACTCTTGGACCTACTGGACTTCTGGTGTCCCCACACGGCTGTCCCTCTGACCTGGGAGCAGACAAAGATGAACTCAGGGTTCCGCTCCATGAGCTGCACGGCTGTTACCCAACTCCGGGCACATTTCCGCACGGTCTCCTTGAAGGGCCAAAGCCAGGCTAGATGGGGAAAAAGAACAGCAAGGTCCCCAGATCTCCAGCCTTGCCCCTGTCCCCCAGCGCCCTGACCAGGCCCAGCCTGGACCTCTAGGGTCTTCTTAGCTCTCCTTTCCTTGAAAAGTCCTGGGATATCCCTCCTGAGCTACCACTCCTACTAGGTGGGAGTAGAGTGTGGGACACGGAGGGCACTAGGGCTATCAGGTCAACTTTACAGGTCAGGAAATGAAGGCCCCAGAGGTTTAGACACCCCCAGAAAGACAACCCTTTAAAGAGCAGCAAGTTAACCCTATCCCTAACACACACTGACGGGTATCTCAGAACAGAGGGCATAGCTCCCCAAGGCTCCCCATGAACCTTGCCTGGTTGGCCATCCGACATGGAGCACTATAGCCTTTCCTGACTTCTAGGCCTCAGTTCCTTCCTTACCAGCCAGAGACCCCACCCTCTACCTCATATCTTGGCAAAGCAGAGAAAGTCCTTGTTCTGTGTTCCAGAAACTTCAGTTGCATCAGAATCAACACCGTGGGGAGTTTGTTAAAATGTGCATTTCCTCCCATAAGCCTCAGACACTGCAAATTCATGATGTTCCGAACCGAACCCCTGACTCTCCCCAGTTAATCTCCCCTGTGCCTGAGCCCCCATCTCTATTACTTCCACATCATTCCTCTCTGACGACTTGGGCACCCTATCAAACTCACTCATTTTCACTCAGCTCACGGTCACCTCCTCTCCTAAGCCTCTCATGAATTCCCTCTACCCAGCTGGGTTAAGTGTCTCCCTCCATCATGATCTCAACTGTGTCTATTTTGTGATCATCGGTCTCTATAATCTTACCCTCCAATATCTAGCACGGGTTCACATGGGGCATCAGAATTCGTTGAAAGAATAAATGAAGCTACACCTAGCAAAGCCCACAGTCCAGTGCCCTTGCCCCATTTTACAAAATGGAGAAGACTGAAGCCCAAAAGGGGAAAGAACTTGCTGAGGATCACAGTGTTTCCAGGGCACAGCCAGGGCTTCAAGGTCACTCCTACATCTCCTAGCCAACCCGGCCAACTGCCCCCCTACCTGTATCAATGTGGCAGTGCCCCATGGCATGGATGGTGTGTTGGCTTTCACCTCCACGTTGGTCAAAGAACCTGGAGGCCAGGTCCTGGGCCACTGGGAAGGTTTCAGGCTCAGCAGGGTCGCAAACGTTCACAATCTGGTTGGCTGTGTACAGGGCCTGGAAGCTGCGCTGGTTGTCTTCCCCAAGGCCCTGCAGCAGGGTTCTGCCTCTTAATCTTCATCTCAAGCAAGCCAGTCTCCAGAACTAGGCCCTGGCTGATCTCCCACGGGTTCTGAACAAAGCTCTTCCCTATCTCCAACTCTTTAACCCTTAAAGTCCCCCTGCTCAGCACTGTTTCCCCTCTCCCCTTTACATCAACTCTCGAGCAGGCAGAAACCCTCTCCCTACTGTGCATTCCCAGAGTCCCAATTATCTGACTCAAGAATCAACCTGCCTGGAGTTCTAGAGCGACAAGATAGGGTAGGGGTATCAAGTACCTTGGCGACGCCCAACAACAGCTCCAGATCCACCAGGAGCTTGTGGATGTCTCGGTGGAACACGGCCAGCTCGGCCCTGCTCACCTGGAACATCTTCTCTGGGTCTGGGGCTGCAATCATGGTGCCCTTCCCGGCCCCCAGGAGGCCATTGCAGGCAACTTCCACATACAGGATCAGGCTACAAATGTGGAAAGGAAGTCTCAGGCCAAGGGATTGGCAGAGACCTCTAGGCTTGGCTTGGGAGGGAAGACTAAGGGGGAATCCAGATGATCCCGCTCCATTCACCTCCACAATCCCATATGTCGAGTTTGTGTGAAGAGGGTCACAGTAGATGCACCAACCTGAACCCATGTGGTGATAATGAGAGCTCTATTATGGTTGGCGAGAGCTAAGCAGATCAGTCTGAAACTGTGTGAATCATGTTACTGTTTAGCCTTTTGTTCCCAAAGCTGCCTTTCCAAAGCAGCTCCTTGGTCTCAGAACTGTCTTTTTATATTAAAAACTGGCTTGGATCTCCCAGAGTGAAGACCCATCAGCCAGCACAGGGTGGGCTATTCTTTGGAGCAGCATATTGGGCTGCAGTGCTGTCCTACTCAGTCTTGAGGGAGCAAACACGATTTCCTTGGAGAAGACCTCCCTGACCCTCCTCCTACCCCCTCCTAAGTCTGGAACAGAGTTCTTAGATTAAGCTCCCAATTTTTCTCTCAGAGCCCTTATCAGTTTTGTAATCATGTAAGTATGCACGAATCCCCTTGCTGTAGAGGACCACATTACTCACATTGCAGTCCCAGTGTCTAGAAGCATTAGACATACAGTGTTCAATATATATTATAGCATATAATGCCTAAGAAAAAGTTTTTAATGGTGTCATAAATATCCATTTTATAATATGGAATGAAAAAACGCAGGACACAAAATATCAAACAAATATAATCTCAACTAGTAACAACTACACCTGGAAGAATTCCTGAGATGAGTGCTGACATGCAAATAATGGTCTTCTTTAGGTGATGGTATGATGGGAAATCCATATTTACAAGAAGACAAATATTTTTATAGCCAGGAAAAAAAAATCCAGTTTTTAAAAAACAAACTTTTGTATGTTTGTAGTGGATGGTTGTAGTGGAGGTGGGTATGTTTTTAAGATCATTCCGGGCCTTAGCTCCCACTAATGTGTCCTCCCGCTCTAGTGTCCCCTCTTGCACAGCCTTGGTCAACCAGAGCACAGGGACTCACTCACCTCCGGGGGTCTCCTTCCCCCAGCCTATCAGTCAGGACATAGCTGGTCTTATCCCCTTCTTTGGTCAAACCCTGGTATAAGTGGAGTGAAAGAGACAGGGCCTGAGATTTTTGGATAGTTCAGGTAAAGTATAAACTAAGGGAGTCCAAGACCCTCCACCTGATCTCCAGCTTTGGCTTCTCTTTCCTAGGAAAGGCCAAGAATGATAAATCAGGGACCCCTGGTAGCAGGTGGCCCAACCCCCATGGCAGTCAGCACCAAGACCATGAAATGGCACCAGCAGAAAAGCCCCTGGTTTTATGGGAAGGGTCCTGGGCAGGCATCAGGAGACCTGGGTGTGGCTTCTGGTGGCCTCTGTACCCCTGAATAAGTATGTTAAGGGAAATTCTATAAAGTCAGGAGCAGGTTTGTCTCATCCCTTGCTATACTGCCAGTGCTTAAAATAGGGCATGGCCCAGAGACAGCATTCAGGAGACATCTGCTAAGCCACTGGAGGGAGGGAGGGCTTTGCCATACAGGTAGGACAACAATACAACCCTGAGGCTGAAAATCCAATTGGAAGGAAGGCTGGGTGAACTTAACAGGTGAACTAACCTCTACTTATCTCAGCTTCCTAAACTGTAAATGGTTATAAAGACCCAAATAGGATTATTAAGACATTCTTAGTTGCATAAACAAGACATTTAATAGCGGTTAGTTATATCTGGAGAATTGGGATGGGGGAGTAGGAAGAGATCCATTACTTCAGGGAAAAAGGACTTAAAATTTTATTTTATATTATTCAGAACTATTTGAAAATAACTATTTTCATCCAAGAATGAGATGGGCAGGCAGTGGTGGGGTTGGTTTAGCACTAATTATGTTGCAACTCAAAAGCCATCCATTTAACTTAACTAGTGTGAGAGAAACCCAAGCACATGGGCCCAAATAGCAAACCCTGCCCCCCATCCTGAAGTCCTGATACTATCCTGCAGGCAGAGCCACTCAGCTATGGCTTCTCCAGAGATCAGAGCTGAAATGCGGCCACGTCTGTCCTTAAAGGCTCCTTACCTGAACCGGTTCCCCATCACGCCATACCAGGCCTTCTCCATCACTTTCCCAGCGGAGGTGAACCTCCTGATCCACCCATGATTCCGGGATGGTCAGCTCCACCCGGAACCAACAGGTCCACCACCTGCAAGAAAGCCATTCAGGGTGGAAGCCCTATCCTTTTGAAATAGTACTTCCTTGGATTAAGGATCAGTAGGAGCTTGAGGCTTTCTCTATGTATCTGATTGACAATAAAGGAGCAAGGTATGTGCAACAAAGTGATGGAAAGAGGCAGAGGATTCAGGGGTCTGTGATCCATTCTTGACAAATGCCTTTCTTAAGGAGAGTCCATGGACTGGGAGAAATGGGAAAATTAACTCTTCCATACTAAGGCACCAGGGAGATGTTTCCAGCAGAGAGTGCTGCTCTGCCCCAAGTACTGTCTAAGGCAGAGGGCCTACAATGGAGGTGTGGCATTCGGAGTGAACCGGACCAGAGGGGTACCTTCCCTTTGGCCTGCCGGTCCCACCCTCCCTCTGGGTATTACCCACGTGGGTCCGAAGCTGTCGCCGACCTGCGCAGGGCGGAAGTCCTGCTGGATTGCCTCCTGGAAGGAAAGTCTCTCAGGCGTCAGGAAACTAGAGAGCGCGGCCACCGGACAGGTGTCCCCGAAGAGCCTGAACAGGAGGGGCCGGTGGGCTCGCGCTGGGGGCCAGCTTTCTTCCCACCCACCAGCGGGTGGGACACGCGGCCCCACGGCCCACCAGAGGGCTGCCCCACAACACAGCCTCCCCGACCTTCTTCCCCAGGCCCACACTGTCTGCGGAGGGCGGGTACTTTTATCTCTCAGTCTGGGTGGCCGCAGCTTGCGTTTACCCCTAGAAAGGAAGGCTGAGGCCCACGGAAGCGGCCAGCCAGGGCCCTGAGCGAGGGGGGCCACACCTGCCGCGGAGGTTACAGTCGGTAGAGTAGAGTGGCGACACAAATTTTTCCACCCGCTCCAGTGTAGTGCGCCAGTGCTTCAGAAACGGCGCAGCCGCCATTGCCGCAGGCCCAGTACTCTTCCCAGTTCTTGGGCGCCGCGAGCGTGGAGCGTGGACCGGAATCAAACGTTCCAGAGTCCAAAATGTGCCTTGCAGCCGCGGGATGCTTTTCTTGTAACACTGCGGCTTCCGGAAGCCCAGGTGCTCCGAACTTCGAGCAGGGCACTAAAAGAAGCGCTTCCGGGGCTCTTCTCTACCTCTTCCGGTCTGGCGGACCACTTGGCAAATCCCTAAATAAAAGGGCAAGTTTGACGTTTACGTTCTTTGAAAAGTTCCGGGACAGAAAGGGGGCCATTAGGCACGGCAGAAGCAGATCACTCAGCCTCAGCAGCAAGTGCGAAGCCCCCGGCCCTCCAGTACCAGCCAGACCTCTGGCTCCCTTGAAAACTTGAGAGCTGGGGTGTAAGGAATAGCACGTTCATTAGGGAGGGCTTTGCACCCCAGTAACCTCAGCTTCCTCTACTACATATTTTGTTTATGGTTAGCTGTTGGTCATCACCAGAAATTCTGGAGATGGCATGTTAGTAATAATGTTCAAGATCCTAATAAAATACTGTAATCCACCACACAGGACTGAAGAGTTCAGAGAAGCCATAATGCCAGAGACACCTCTGATTTCATTTTCACGTTACTTCTTTTCCTCCTAGGATTGCCAGAGTTCTTGTCTATAAAATCATTAGTAAGAAAAAAAATATATACACAGCATTAACCCTCATATTTTAATAGAGATACTAACCAGATCATATTTACATTTCAAATGCAGAGGGGAATAGCTGAGTTATTCTTGGGAAAACCTGAAGATCTCGCCTCCCGTCAGTATGTATCACTCCATCTCCAAGTCACACACTGCCCCAGCTTCACCCTAGAACCTCCTCCCACAAGGCTCTTTTCCCACCCTCCATTTCTGGGTTCACAGTCATGTCACCCCCGTTTCCACACACACAAACAAAGTGTCAGAGGTTTACCGTGTGTTTTGAAAGTCCAGAGATCAAAAATTTGTTTGTTTTTTTTTTGGTGGGGGATGAGGGGGCATGGATAAAAAGCAAACAAAACCACCGAAAACATTGATTACTTTCCCTGATTTCTGGAGGGATTTCACTGATTCTGGAGGAAAATCCACCGTTAGCTCAGGCTGACCACATACAAAAATCCTAATCATTCATGTTTAAGTGTCTCTACCAGTTTAAATTTATGTAATTAAAAAAGTTTTATATATATTCATATTCCATTTGCAGTTAGTAATGAAATATACCAAATTTTCTCCCTCCCAACCCCAATTATATACCACACACCTTATACACATTTTTCAAATACTGGTTTGGTATTTAAGTTGTTCACTCTCATTTCCAATAAGGATAAGAAAAAATATATAGAGAAATACAAACTATGTAGCTAGACAACTTACCAAATATCACATATTTGCAAATAGTTAAAATATGAGGAGAAAATACACTGAAAGAATTAAGTATGCTGCTCCAAAAATTTGGAATATTTTGACTTAAGTGCAATTGACCACTAACTAAAGCAAATGCCTCTTGGTACCGCAGATAAGGAACTGAGCCCAAATCCCTGCTTTGTAATAGTTCTCTGGTGCGGACAAGGGACTTGGGTTGCACGTTTATTCCTTAAGAACCAAGCTTTATTTATTTACCAAAAAAAAGAAAAAGGAAAAGAGAAAAAAAAAAAAAAGAAAGAAAGAAAAAGAAAAAAAAAAAGTTGGGGCAAGGGGAAGACAAGTTTTACACAAAAGTACTACAACAGTAACTCCCTTTGGTAAAAAGTGTAATAAATGCCTTTGCACACCTGTTCATAGGTACTAAATTTGAAGCCACATAGAACTATAATACACAAGAAGCTAGAACAGTTATGCTAGCACATCAAAGCATATTTCTTTTAATAAAAAATTGACAGTATGTACATTATTTACAAAAAAAGGAAAAATCAAGTTAAAATTGTGTGTGTGAGAGAAAGAGTAAAGCTGGTGGATGGCACTAGGGCAGACTTGTAAAGAAGCAGGTACAAAACAGTTCCACGGGAGCTAAAAAGGACTAATTTGAACTTGTTGAGGTTGATAACCAGCGGAGAGAGTAAAAGGGAGGCAGCAAGGGATTTGTCAGGAATCAGATCCACAAGATGATCAATCCCAAAGCCAAACTGCAGGTCCCAGATAAAATCCAATGGATGCTCTAGATGTGCTCGAGTGACCAAGGGGGGGGTGGGGGGAGAAAATCAAATCCAGTTTTGTTCCCCTTTTTGGGGGAGAGAAGAGGAGCAGTGACCATGAGTTACAACCCATCTGGGCGTTGCATCCTTCTCCAGTCTGTCAATGTACGCCCATCCAGCCAAGATGTGAACAGCACCTGGTTCCCTCTTCGAAGGTCAGGCCCCAGGAGACTCCAGTCTTAGCTCTGCTGGTGTGTGCAAGCAAGCTGCATGTCTGTGCTTGCATGGATATCCCTCTCCAGGGCAGGGTAACACCCAACCCTGTTGGGGAAAGCTCCAGCTCTGGTCAGCTTTTAAGGTACCCATGTTTATTACATGTAGCCCACTTGGTGCCAGGCTGTACGCACAGATTAGGTGGCCATGTCCCAGAGAGGCCCAGTGAGGCTTGAAAGGCATCTTCCTTGTTTCTTCAGCGTGTGTGAGGGCATGTGAGCCCACCCCCACCCTACACACACCCCCCTCAAGTTATCTGCTCTGGCTTTGCAGTTACGGGGTTTTGAACACTGTGCCATATTTGACACGGTACTTGTTAATGCTCACAAAGTGCAGGGTCTCTGTGTCACAGGTGGTGGTACAGGGCACCAGGCCCTCCAGCCCCTCACCCATGAGCCACTTGCTGGTCTCTGCTGCCATTTCACGGGGCACATGCTCCTTGGTCCATTTATCTACCCAGGCCTGGAACCTCTGATGTAGCCTCTTGCTTACACGCTCATGGGACTGCAAAACAGAACAAGCAAAAATAAACAAACAAAAACCCCATGAACTAGGACCAAAAAACCTAAACAAACAAAAACCCCCCTTCACCTACCAGTTTGGTCAAAAATTTCATTTATAGTTTTTTTCAAATGGTGGCTCTAGGTAGCGCTTAGTTGTCTTTAACTTCATTAGAAACAATTTTGTTAGACTGCATTGTGACAGCTGTCATATCTGAATGCATTAAAAAAAATTATCAAAACTGGTGAAATTTTGTGCAGCCATTTTAATATTGAACATGGAAGAGCATAGGTAACATTTTCGGCATATTATGCTTTATTATTTCAAGGAAGGTAAAAATGCAACTGAAACGCAAAAAAAGATTTGTGCAGTGTATGGAGTAGGTGCTGTGACGGATCTCAAAGGTATCAAAAGTGGTTTGCGAAGTTCCTTGGTACTACTGACATGTTGGCCATATAATTCTTTGCTGTGGGGCTGTCTTATGCATTGGAAGATGTTTGGCAGCACCCCTGGCCTCTGCCCACTAGAAGCCAATAGCAGGAGAAAGTTGACGTACTCAAAATACTCAAATCAATAGTTACTGGTGAAAATGAAAAATGTGTCTTTTTTTAATGGAAAAAACTAAACTCACTTCTTGGCCAACCCAATACAAAGCCCAATTTTCTCATAAAACAGCAAAGGAAACATGTGGGCTCCAGTCTCTGATACTGCTGGTTATAAGGCAGGGGCGGGGAGTTAGCAGGGGGCAGGGAAGGAGAGAAGGATCTTTGTTTAAAGAAGAGAATTGAAAGAGGGTAAGAACACAGAGCATATAAGGAGTTGGAACCCACTGAGCTACCAAAGAAATGCCAACACAGGGTTTGGGCAGGACAAGCTCAGTGCTTCTCAATTTTAGCATTCATGAGTATCACTTGGGGAACTTGATAAACATAGATTTCCTTGTTTCCATCAATCTACATTTTAAAATCAGCAACACAGCTGATTTTAATATACTCCCAAGTGAGGGTATACCCCCTTGCCCTGCCCCCACCCCCCGCCCCGCTCCCGCGCAACATGAGTTGCAGCTGTTGTTCATTTCTATCAGTATGGCAATCCACTTCTAAGTAACAGGCTGGCTTAAGTTAACAGTGGCTTAAAACCCACTCTCCCTTACGGTATTACCTCCACCCTGCCCACCAGAGTAGAGCGCCAGTCACAGCAGATCAGTAGAGATTTACGTTCCTACCTATTCATTCTGTAAATATTTATTAGTGCTCACGTGCAAGGCAGAGTAGGGGAAAAGGATGAATTAGGGGTTGCCCTGCTCCCCAAATAATCTGAATCAGAGACACATATACAACATACAGCACCATGAGAGAAGTATGTTAAACTGTACACCCAGCATCTCCTGCTTAAATGTTTTATTGTCCTTTCAAACTTAACCAGTTCAAAACAGAGTGCTCCATCTGCCCCTCAAACATAGTAACCTCTTCCTATTAATAGGTGTATCCCTTAACTTCCAACTTATTCAAGCAAAACAAACAAATGAAACTAAGTAACAAAAACTGCAAGGCATCATCCTTGGTGTTCTCCTTTCTCTTACACCTCAGTCAAATGGGAGTCTGATCATTACCTGACAATTATATCTCCAAATTATGTTGCCAGTCTAATTCTTACAATTCAACTGCCGCCTTTCTGCTAGCCCAGGTCACCATCACATCTCATTTGGAGAAGGGCAGTCTTCCGAATAGTCTCTGACCTTCCAACTCTGTGCCCATACTCAGTCCCATTCTCACACAGTCCAAGTCTTCTTTGTCAACAATGTCTCAGTGTACTGCAAACAAATTCCAAACCATAGCCTCTGAGACTAAGCAACGTGGCCTCTACCTACCCTTCCAACTTCACACATCCCACATTCCTTATGGCTCTAGCCACACTGATGGTTTTAGTTTTTCACACATTCCTCTCCCTCCTAGCCTTGCAACTGTTTCCTTTGCCTAGAAAGTACCAACCCCAACTATTCACCATGCTGGATCCATGTCACTGTTCATGCCTTACACATCACTTCCTTAGAGAGGTCTCCCTGCAACAAAAGCTGGGCCTGTACATCAGTTACCCTTGGTCACTTCACCTAGTTTATTTCCTTGGTAGTGTGTACCACACTGCCTTATATCCTTTATGTCATGGTTGTAGTCCCAGGGCCTGGCTCAATACCTGGCATATAAGTGCACCATGAAGCTTTCACAATTGAGGAAGCACATGAAGACAGGTAGGCTTTATACAAGCAACACCACTTAAAAGCAATTGCTGGGAGTAGCTTCATTGGAAAGTATTAGCTATTATGGATTGTTTTGTGCCCTACCTCGAAACTCAAATGTTCAAGTCCTAACCCTCAATACCTCAGAACGTGACCTTATTAGGAAATAAGGTCGTTACAGATATAATTAATTAAGATGAGGTTATATACTGTTAGTAAGGGTGAACCCATAATCCAAAATGACTGGTGGGAGATTTGGACATGGACGTGTACACAGGGAAATGCCATGTGAAGATGAAGGCAGAGATCTGCAAGCCAAGGAATACCAAAGGGTGCCAACCAACAACCAGAACCTAGGAGAGGCAAGCAAAAATTCTCCCTGGCAGCCCTCAGGAGGTTTGAGCCCACTCTGCCAACACTTTGAACTTCTAGCCTTCAGAACTCTGAGACAATAAATTTCTATTGTTTCAGTTACACAGTCTGAGTGGTACTTTGTTATAGCATCTTTAGCAACCTAATACACCAGCTTACTCAATTCTTAAATCCAAGTAAAGGTTTTCACAAAGGAAAAGAAAAAAAAAAAACCCAGAAAGTCTTTGGAGAAGGTTGGTCCTGGCTGGGGAGAGAGGTTCTCACCTGGTGAGCCCGGAGCAAGGCGGTCCTCCGATACATGTAGTCTTCGGACTTGATCACATACACCATCTTGTAGGAGTTCAGCTTGAACCTACACTCCAGCTTATCCAGGCTATCCACATTCTCCATGCTCTTCTTGCTGTTTCCTTCCTTCCCTTCCTTTTCCTGCTGTTCTCGACCACGCTGACACTTCCGGATCCGCCGCAGGTTCCTGCAAAGCAGAAATCCCCGAAGGATGAGAACTGGTCCAGAAAAATTCCCATGACTCCTCCAAGAGTTTTCCTATTACATGCCTTCACAGCACTCATCACAATTTTAGTTATACATATAAAAAAATTTCAATGGTAAGAATAAACAGAATAAAAAGCAAAATCTTCACCTCCTAACCCTAATCTAAGACCCACTTGCCTTGACAGAGGTAGCCTCTGTTAGCAGTTTCGAAACTTCCTAGGTCTCCCTGAAACAACATATGTAATCACTTGCTATGGTTCTGCTTTTGGAATTTGTTCAAGACAAAAATGCATCACACTATAAATATTATTCTATTATTCTCAACTTTTCACTGACTCTTTTGGAGACTTTTTAGTTTCACTACACACAGATTTGTGTCATTCAATGGCTGCACAGGAATGTGCCTCAATTTAACCATTCCTTACCAGGAATCAATGAGGGGTTCCTTATCTGAACCACAGAATACAGAAAATTATTTGAATGCCTATTTTTTCCAATCCCTCAGCCCTGGCTGGCGTGGCTCAGTGGACTTAACACTGGCCTGTGAACCAAAAGGTCACTGGTTTGATTGCCAGTCAGGGCACATGCCTGGGTTGCAGGCCGGGTCCCCAGCTGGGGGACTGTGACAGGCAACTGATGAATACTTACAAAGATGGTATATAACTAATAAATACTATCCTCCATACAAAGGAAAAAAGAAAAACATCAATGGATGTCTTGGTAGGTATTTAGAGTTTAATTCTCTCCAACAATAAGCAGAGAAAGGTGGTGAACAGGCAATTAAATTGTTTCTAATACTTTGTCATTAAAAGTACTGCTTCCTCTGTATATATGTATTTCTGTAGGACAGCAAGTTCCTTGGTCCAAGGACTCTTGATAGTCCCAAAACCCTTTTCAGGAGGTCTGTAAGGCTGATACTACTTTCATAGTAATACTAAAACACTATTTGCTCCCTCCCTTCTTTTTAGGGCATTACTATTTGTACTCACAGTGCAAAAGTAACGAATTAAAATGCTGGTGGTGGCACAAAACTAACCTTAGAAATCTTTGTATTCTCTGGCCACGCACTGGCAATTAAAAAGAAAGATGGCTTCACTTTAGAATGTCCTTGATGCCCTGGCTGCATGGCTCAGTTGGTTAGAGCATCGTTTTGTGCATGGAAGGGCTGCCAGTTTGATTCCTGGTCAGGGCCTAGGTTGAAGGTTTGGTCCCTGGTTAGAGTGTGTACAGGAGGCAACTGATTGATATTTCTCACATCAATCTCCACCCTGCCCTTCCTTTCTCTCTAAAAATCAATGAAAACATGTCGCGAGTGAGGATTAATAAAAAGAGGGAAAAAAGAATGTCTTTGATGAAGAATTAATACTGCTAAATTCAATTCCAGCCCCTCAATTCACATTGTTTTAATATACTGTATGGTAACATCAGAACTACACAGGAAGCACCTTCTTGTGCTGAGATACAATGGAACCCTTGAAGAAAAGCACGCGAGCTGCAAATGGATCACCAATTTTACCTGAAAGAACAACTGACTAGCCAACCTAGGGTATCTGGTATGTATTTTCTCCAAAATGAGCAAGGGAGCCTGGCACTCCAAGGAAAATATATTTGTTGCCATTAGTAAGATCTAAGCTTTCAAGTAAAACTATGAATTTGGGTAAACTGATACTTGCCAACATTAGCTGACAGCTTTCCATTATTTAAAGATGTGTTTGATGAGGTCAATGGCAATATTAATACGTGAAATTTTTTTGGATGTTATGAAATGAAAATGTGTAAGCATTCGGTAGCGCTGCATGACATAGTGAATTATTACTTTCCAAATAAACTGCATGAAGTTATAAAATCATGGATGAAAAAGATTCAAATTATAATATAAACCAATGGTTTGGCATAACACTTTGAAGAGATCATTGACTTTCATTGATACTGCAACTAACCTTTACAAAACTACCACCTGAAGAATTCTGTAGTTATATCCCAGAATATCCACAATCATTTGAAAGGTTATGAAAATAATTTCTTCTAACTACATATTTGAATAAGACCAGATTTTCTTCACATATTTCAACCAAACAACATAGTGCAACAGAACTGAATACAGAAGCAGATATAAGAATTCAGCTGTTCTTCCATTATGCCAGACATGAAACAGATTTCAAAAATGTAATGCAATGCCACTCTTTTCACTAATTTTTGGTTTGAAATAGCTTTTTATTAAAAAATTATTTATAATAATATAATGGATTTAGTATTATTTTAAAAATGAATTCATAAACCTTTTAAACATTTCTCAGTTTTAATTTCTAATGTAGTAAATGTTACTAGATGTAATCCATATAAACAAAAGCTTTTGTTAGGTATTCCATATCTAAGAGTGAAGGGGGTCTCAACATCAAACAGACTGAGAACCGTAGAGCTATAAGGCAAATTATGAGAAACCAAAGTTCTAGGGTGAAGGTCCCCTACACAAACAGCCCTGACCCCAAAATGAATTTATCAATTTATATCTTTCCCTGAGGAATAAGAAAATGCCTCCCATCCCTGTACCATGTCCAACGCAGATTATAAATCTCTTTAAAACTGCCAATATGGTGGTTTCTGCATCATTAGCATGGAGACTAAGTGATTTGTTGAGAGAGGGGCAGGGCACAGAGCAGCTGCTTGAAGCCTGTTCCATGAATCAACAAAAGAAAACTGGCAGAGCCCTTCTGGTCACACCCATCCAGGTTCTGATAAGGACTAAGTCTATAATTCTGGATAACAACTCTCTGAAAATGTAAAGCATGAGATTTCAATTCCAAACTTTTGAGAAGAAAACAAGCCACTCTACTGCAGCAGAACCTATTTTCTACTTTTGAAACTCTTCTTCAACCTCAGATAGAGGACCTTCCCAATCTGCCCACATATGGGGTTAGGGGTGGATTGAAAAGACTCTGTGAAGACAGCTAACACAGTAGGCTTAAGAATGCAATCCTTTGCGACGCCTGCTTACAAGGCTGTCCCTTGGGATCCTGGGAGAGTTTCCACTATTCCCTGTAATGGTAAGAGTGGTTCACTATATGTAAACCACTGTATGTAAACTGTTTACACATAATATATGGTTTAAGCTGAAAATGTGCTTTCCTTCTGGAAATTTGGAATTTTGGTACATGTTAGGCAGAGGGTGCCTACACAACTAGCATCCAATATAAAACCATGGCACTGAGAGAGAACCTAATAAGCTTCCTTGGCAGACAGCATTTCAAACAGGTTTTCACAATTCATTGCTGGAGGAATTCAGAGCACCCTGTGTAACTCCAATGGTAGAGGCCTCTGGAAAGCTTTCATCTGGCTTCCTCTGACTTTTCTCACAGGTGCCTTTTCCCTCTGCTAATTTAGCTTTGTGCCCTTTTACACATTCTTATGAGATGTAAGGGAAGTAAGTCATTGCTGATTCTCTAAAACTCTCACTTCCCTGATACTGTAGCATGAACTCCAAGTAGGCTTCTGGTTTAACAGCAACACAAACCTTGATTAGTGTCCTCAGCAGGCAGAACAATGAATAGAACAAGTAAAAACGAAGAATCTGACGCCAGCCAGTGTGGCTCAATTGGTTGAGCACTGTCACTCAAACCTAACAGTCGCAGGTTTGGCTCTGGTTGGTGTACATGCCTGGGTTGCAGGATCAGGCCCCAGGGCGCATATGGAAGGCAACCAATCGATGTTTCCCTCTCGTATTGATGTTTCTTATCTTCCTCCCTCCCTTCCCTTCTCTTTAAAAATCAAAAACAAACAAACAAAAAACCCCAACCAAGATTCTCACAGTCATTTAATTCTCTATTGCTCAATCGTGCACAACTGTATCCTGCCAACTGATTCATGATTTGGTGCACTCACCTTGGGAGAAATACTGGTTTCCGTGCCAGATGCTCACGAAGCTCAGGAGAGGTAGTATCAGAATTCATGTAACGCTCCACATAGTCTGACCAGCGCTAGGATTTTAAGCATAAAATAGGGGTGAGACAAGAGCACAAAACCTGAATTCCATCCTCATCAGCAAATTCTATGACTAAAATGTCTGTGATCCCTAAAATTTCAAGAGAAAAAAATCTGTTCCCATAATAAAATGCTTGTTACTTGGTATTAAAACAGCTTAAGAAGTCTATTAGATCAGCAATTTTCAACTTTTTTCATCTCATAAACTACTATAATTTTCTGGCACACCAAAAACATGTGTATTTTTGCTGATCTGATAGAAAAAATAGGCATAACTTTGATTCATTCACACCAAAAGGCTATCAGTGTGTTGGCTGTTGTGGGTTTTGTATTTTGACAGTCTAAGGGGAAAAAAGGTTGGTGCCCCTAAATAAACAGTCAGGTATTGGATGTTTTAAAAACTCTTGCAGCACACCAGTTGAAAATTGCTCTGTTAGATGGCAAAACCCAAAGTTTCTCTGAGATACTTAAAAATTATTAGAAGTCTACATGTGTAGAAGATGGCTCACTGACAAGTTTTATTTCCTCACAGAGCATTTAAAAAATTTTTTTCAGAGCACTTTTATGAACAAATATTGGTGCAAATGTTTGAAAATCACTATCTTTTACATTAAAATCTGGATTTCTGGCATCTCTTTAAAAATATTTAATGATTTGGTAACCATGAGCCAATATACCCACAGAACAGTCTCCCCTTCCACTGATCCCAAACCTCATATGTAGCTTGCGTCTCTCATTAACATTACCAGTTAGACCCAGTTCTGACAGCCAACTCACTCTGTCTACTCTGGGGGGCAGAGATCTCCTGGTCTTTCATCTAATCCGACAAAAAGAAAAACGTGACACAAAGAGTCAAGATGAGACCAGGCAGATGGCACTTCATTTGCTTTTTCTTATACTTTTGGGGAAAAAAGGGAAGGTGCCAACCATGAGGCCCCCCTCAGGTGATTGAGTTACTGAGAGTTAGATGAGACTGACATCAACCCCAAATAGCTACCACCTGGCAGCTATGATTTGTGTTTTAAGCATCAGGTCCTGACCCCTAACGAGGCCTTCTAGAAAACAGTCAAAGGGCAGTCTCTCAGGACATGACAGCTCCCCTCAGCACAGTCTCTGAAATATACTTGTCATACCTCTGCTTCTACAGGGTCATCTGAGTTCTCCTCTTCTGTGTCCAAAAGCTCAATGGTCAGCTGAACCTGGCCTTGGCTCTGAATGAACATAAGCTGCAAATAAGAAACCTGAGTGTAAACAAAAGGCCATCTCCAAAGCTATAGCCTGGTTTTTCAAGGATTGGGAGGTAATAAAGTCATATCACTCTGCTCCAATGGAAGAGATAAGGAAGACACTCAAAAGCTTAGGAGGCAGGTGTTAAAAAGGTAAAGGTTTCATCTTGCTACAAGCAAATGAAATGTTAGTGCAAAAAGCACCATTTTATGTTTCATACTTCTTGAATTAGCTAGAATAATCAATGTCAGTAAGAGTGCTTTAAGCCAGAACCATAAAATGTCAAAGTGATTTCACTTCATAATCTCAATTCTAGGACTTAATACAAAGATGTAAACAAGTCTACAGTGTTTAAAGATTATCTGACTAAGAACACAAATATTGACGTGCTAAGAAGTGATCTGATGTAATGGTATCAGTCACAATGGAAGTTCTTCAAATTCTCATATTTAAAAGCAATACACTAAGAGAGGCAAAAGTCAGTCATGTTTTGCACAAAAACTATTAAATGCTTGGTGGCACATGGATCTCCCCTTCCAAAACGCTAGGACTAGGACATTGAGAAATGCCCTTATCCTAAGGGCTTGTTGCAGACAAGGTTACAATCCACATCACATGGAAGTAGCTCACTGCTTAGAAGAAAACTTGAGAATCATTTATTCCAACGTCCATGGTTTACACAGGAAAAAAAACTAAGTCAGAGAGTTCTGGCTTCTCAAACGTACATAGTCAGTAAGCACACATGACCAGACCAGAAGCCGGTTATGGTTCCTGGTGGTGTTCTGCAGAAGCTTAAAAAATTCCTAATATACCCACAAATAACAAACAGTTCCAAAACAGATTAAAAAATACAAACAAAAACAAAAGTCCTGCTAAACCCCCTAACCATAGGATGACCTGGAGTATCTAAAGAAATCACCCTTCAAAGTGATATTGAATAGACTGTCTACACTCCACATGCTTAAAAATGAACTCAATTTCACCCCAATGGTCTCCTCCACCCACTGCCTGTCTTTTTAGACCTTTCAGCCTGTGTTCACCAAGCTCTCTCACCTCTGTAACCACTTCCATGTCTTCATGAGCTTCACTATTAGACGGGCCCCATCCACCACCCAAATTTGGTAACTGCTTCCAGCAGTAAGCATGCCTCCGAATCCTCTGTTCCTTCTTACTCAGTACTACCAAACCAATCTTCCTGAAAACTCAAACCCAGTGGGATATTTAGTCCTTAATAATGCCTTACTGCTCACCAACCACAAGAAAAGCCAAACCACTTACTCAGTGTGGCTCTAAAGATTCTCTACTACATTTGGACCCCCTGTCTACATGCCTCCTCCACCAATATCCTTCCTATACTTCATTTATTCACCACACAGACACCAAATGTCTACTACTTAGCAGACAGAGGCACACTCAAAAGAGTTTCTTTTTTTGTTCTCCATGTTCTCCAAACATGGTTTCTTGTTTGGAGATCAATTTAGTAAAGGAAACATAAATGTGAACCACTAGGTTTATATCAATTATAACTACATAACTACAAAGGTACTATTTTAAGAGATATGAGCAATATGCTATAATTCCTCCGCAGTGAGCTAAGAAAGATTTCACTTCCCTGAAGTGACCCTCAGCTGGGCACTGAAAGATATAGGAAAAGATCCATCAATTTTAGAGAAATTATGACAGGGACATACTGTATTTTAATAAGTACGTAAAAAATAACTACACCCCAACCTGGCTGGTGTGGTTCAGTGGACTGAGCACCAGCCTGCGAACCAAAAGTTCGCCAGTCAGATTCCCAGTCAGGGCACATGCCTACGTTGCAGGCATGTGAGAAGCAACCTATCAGTGTACTGTATTTTGCTGTGTATAATGCATACTTATTTGCTCAAACTTCTGAGGGAAAAATAAGGATGCACATTATACATGGGCAGTAGTAGACTGTGCGTGAGCATTATGCACAGGGGCACATTATACATGGCAAAATACGGTAGCCATCACACATCAATGTTTCTTTCCTTCCCTCCCTTCCTCTCTCTAAAAATAAATAAAATCTTTAAAAAAAACAACAACCAACAAAACCATACCCCTCTTCCCCTCAGTAAGGTTAAAGATATGAACAAGCAATACACAGAAGAGGAAAGAAAAGGGCAGCAGTAGGAAACACAGAAATGTGAATTCAAATAATATAAAGAAGTCTGATAATACCAAACTGACTAAGGAAATCAATGCTCTTATGAAAGTGCACACTGGTACAGCATAACATTTGGAAGAGTGAAATAACAAAACCCATTAAAATTTAAAATATGCAAACCCTTTGACCAAGTAATTTCACTTGTTTGTCTCTATCCTAGACAAATACTAACACATGAACACAAGGACACAAGCACTGGGTTAGCCAAAAAGTCCATTTAGTTTTCTCCGTAAAATAAAAGATACATTTTTCATTGTCACCAATAACTTCATTGATTTGGATATTGAGTATGCTGGCAATCTCCTGCTATTGGCTTCTAGTGGGTAGAGGCCAGGGGTGCTGCTAAGCATCTTCTAACGCATAAGACAGCTCCACAACAAAGAATTATTTGGTCAAAATGTCTATAGTACCAAGAAACTTTGCAAACCACTTTTGACACCTTTGCAACAATCATAGCATCTTCTCCATATACTGCACAAACCTTTTGCATTTCAGTTGCATTTTTACTTTTCTTGAAATAATAAAGCGTAATATGCTGAAAATGTTACATACGTTCTTCCATCTTCAACATTAAAATACATGGAACATACACGACAAAGTCAATTGGTCAATTTTTGATACACAAAAATTCACCAATTTTGATAAGGTTTTTTTGGTTTTTTTTAAATGCACACTGTTATGGCAGCTGTCACAATACTATCTAACAAAGTTGTTTCTAATGAAGTTAAAGACGACTAAGCACTACTAGAGCCACCGTACTGAAGAACCTAAATGAATTTTTTGGCCAACCTAATATGAGATAATGCTGTTCAATGTAGCACCCTTTGCAACAGCAAAAAAGTGGAAATAAATGTCCATAAGAGAATGATTAAGAATGACACTGTAGTTGAAAAACTGAAGTGGATCGATATAAACCAAAATAGAGCAATTCTAAGACATATTAAGTGAAAAAAGCAGGATGTAAAATATGCAGTCTAATATTTATTTCTACATATACATACATATGTGTGTAAATGCACAGAAGAGGGTCTCAATGGACATACAGACAGCTAAAAATGCCTGATTTTAAAAAATCAGTGTGGAATGTACATAGGAAAATTAAGGAGGGTGGAGGCAGCAGCAGGGGATTTGAAGGGCCACCTATACTTAGCACTGATATATTAAATTTTATTCTCTATATAAACATTTTAAAGAAGAGGATCACTGTGGTGACACAATTTTCCTGGTTACAAAGCCTTTGTCCTCTACCTATGTCCTCTACCATTCCGACAACTATTCTTATCTACAGGGTGAAATCTGTCCATTCCTTCACAGGCCCTTGCCATAATTTAATACCAGTTAACTCATTAAGGGTTGGGGATGCTAATTCTGTTTCACCATGGACACTAACACACAATAAGATCACAACAAACATTTATAGGTTTAAAGCCTTGAAAAGCTTAGGAAATCTCTTCTGTAGTGGGGAAGTCCTCAGGTATGAGGACATCAGATCTGAGGACTGAACTAAGAAATTTGTTTCCTGTTCTTTGATTCTAAATTAACCAAACATTACAGGTGATGAATTTGAAATGAAAACAGCTGAACGTATAAGCATACAACAAAGTGAAAAATTTGGGGTCAGATCATTAATACATGGAACATACACAACGAAGTCAAACTATTACTTAAGTTGCTCTCCGCTCGGCCAACCACAAACCTTGTTCTGGGCTATCTGATCCTGTCCTTCTGGTGTGAACACATACCGGCTTTGCTCAACTATACACATTTATTACATAGCTGCAATAATAGTACACATACTTTTGTATCCTTTTATTTGCTTCAATATTTTTGTAATTTATGATTAACTTTTAAGGGTTCCAAAATATGCCATCCAGTATTCACATAACAAGCTGCCATTAACCACTCCCATAGTGAGTTGGATATTTAGGCTGTTTCCAGAGATATGCTTTGCAAATTAGCTATTACAATGGTGGGAAACTGGAAACAACCCAGGTGTCAAACAAGACAGGCATGAAATATCAAATAGTCACAAGATGCTGAAGACTCAGAGGTATTGTTAACTGAACAAATTAACTTACAGAACACTTTGCTCAATAGAATCTCTTTCAAAATATACATACGCATAGAAAAGTCTAGAAATGTCATCAATGATTATTTCTGGGAAGAACTGGAGGCAATTTTTCTTTTCTCTGCATTTCATATCTTTTTTACAATGATAAAGGATTATATTTTTAAACATCTTAAAACAATACACTTACAAAGCACTATCATATGAAAAAATGTTCAGGAAAAAAGAACGCAAAATTGTATAAAATCATATAAAACAAATAATTTTTTTTAAAGGCAAGAAAGACTGTCCTTGGAAGACTTTACTTCCCTTTTTTCCATATTTTGTATTTCCTTCAGTAGAATAACTGGGTCAAAGAACCCCAGTCTGTATTAGACTTCTGGCAGAAACAGTCCTAACATCTTACACTGTCACCGGAACAGTCCTTCACTACATGAGTAACTCTCACCTTAAAGCAGTTCTCATCTGACATGAGCTGCTCGGCCTTCCGCTGATATGCTGACTCCAAGAGACTCCTCGAAGTCTGTGTGTTCAGCTGGCCTCCAGTGGCCCCATTATTGTTTTCTGCCAGGTAAAGGTCAGTCACCTGTACACAGATCTCATCGCTCACGATGTGCTGCAGCTGGAATCAAGCAAAAGCACGTCAACAATAAACCAAGAAAATACTTCTCTCTGTTACACAACCAACTTTACTTTGACAGTTCCAGTCACTCAGCTCAAAAAGGTTTTTAGGAATTGGTAATTTTAAAAAATAAGTCACACACTTTTTATTTTGTTGGAGAATAACTAAGCCAAAATCTTCAACCATGTCACTGGTCCATAAGTAAAACTTTAACATCTATTTAAAAACAAAACCAAAGGCAATGGTTATCAATATGCTGCTTTCTTAAAGTTCTAAGAAACTTAAAAAAAAAATTTTTATATGAAAGATAATTCCCGTGGCTTTCTATTTTTATGGCGCTTCTTTACCATTTATAATTTGCTTTCACACATATTCTCATTTGATCCGTGCAACAATCCTCGGAAAAGTCGGGAGAAGGGTGTCCTGTTATATGAGACAACTTTGTGTGTTAGATAAGAAAACTCATTGTGTACCAAGGTGAAGAAGGTGGCCCTAAGAGAACCACGAAATCAAGGATCCATGTGTATACCCTCGGCAAAGTCTGAAACTCATTAGGTATTTAAGAAAGTGATGCTGAACTAACTGCCGAGGCTCTCAGCTCAGGGAGCAGAGTTAGGACTAATATTCAAGCTTCCTGACTCCTAGGGCCAATATTCTATAACGCACCACCTCTTTTCTACATCTTAAAGTATGGTACTTAAACTGTATATGTTAATTAACTCATTTTCAAAACAGGTCAGTCACAATTGACTACTGGTAACTTTGTGACTGTCTTATTAAATTATCTGATGACTAGAAAGTTGAATCTCTGTTTCCATTTCCATGAATCATGAGGATATTTCTATAGTGAAATAAAAATTCCCTCAATTCAAACTACCCATTAAATGTCAGAGAATGTATTAAACAAAATACAAGCAGAAAGCAAAAAGTTAACTGCAGTATCAATTTGTCTATTTTAAAATTCTCGTAACCACTAAGCCATTCTATTTTTAGAAAGATGTTCTTTTTAAAGTGCTAATAACTGTAACAATGACTTATCTTTGATATTTAAAAGTCTTAAATCACATGTGTATTTGTAGATAAACGGACAGAGTGCAAGGTCAGAGGGTGAGTGACTTGATGGTGGCAGAAAAAGCAGCAACTGGAGGTGATTAAATACATTACAATTAGTCCAGACAATGGATTCTAATGGATCATTAAAATAATGCTTTTGACACCTTGATAACAGAGAAAAGTTTAAGAGAGTGTTTCAGAGAGAACCAAAGTAGTATACAGAAAGTATACCCAAAGAATGGTCTCTGCCATGTAGATACTTGTGCTTCGTACCTTATTAAAGTAGCCCAGGTCACTAACTCCCTGCCCATACTTCTCTTCTTGGATATCTGGTCCCTTCTAGAGTCTTTGAACAAGGCAGCACTAAAATACAGGAAGAACTAGGCAACTCCACCCCCAAGCCAGAATAGATCCTCATTCCTGCTAATCTGAAATGATACAATGAGTGTCCTTGGTAAACAGAGGAGCATCTGGATGGAAATATGAGGTAATGTTTGGGTCAGAGGCACTGCCATGGAAAGCCAAAGCCTGGGTTGGAGGGGAAGATCCAATGTTCACCTGCAGAGAGAACCACAAGAATGAAGCAGATGTCCAGAAAGAAGGCATGCAGGCAAAGGAAAAACTATACCAGTCCAATCCCTTTGTGGCCTGGGTATATAGTGAGTTCTGTACTAGATGTCTATGAGACCACCTATTGTATTCTTAAAATAAACCCCTCTTAAACTAGCCTGTAAATGATAAGATACATGTATGAACTGATCTTGAAATATATGTTTTACCTCCAGTCAGCAATGAACTCTGGGAGAATGCCAACTGAGACGAGGTAAATGGGAGAAGAGATGCTTCCAGTTGAGGAGTTAAGATGAGAACCATAGAGATACATTTAAAAAATACTGAGTCTGGGTTTCTGGATGAAACCTGTTTCCATAAAAAAAAGACTAAACATTCTGTCTTACTGACTCAAAATCACAACCAGGTGCTTCTAGTAAATGGACAAATTATATCTATTGTTAATAAAACCAACCTCGGCTTATAAAAAGTTTTATTATAAAGTTGTTGTGCTGGCAGTATGAAGACATTACTCATAGTTGTAGTAGCAGCAAACCTGTAAGCAGAAACAAGCACAGGGCCACTTTTAGGGGATTTTAACAGGGATTAGTATCTCAAAAATTGTGACCATAGCTAATTGTATCCATGCAATGACTTCCGCCTGTCACCATACAGACCCCTTAAGGGAAGGCCTAATAATTTCTTCAACTTTCAGGAAAAAAAACTGCCTGCCTGATGACTTTTGTGAAGATACCAGAAGTCAGGTATGTGACACATTCTTCCCTGACTCTGAGACTATGCTCTGAGAGGGATGCAGAGCCATGCACGTTTTCAAGTTCAAGGCAAAAGCAGGAGTACTCTACAAAGGGTTCCATACTTTACCTCAAGAAAACACTTGAGCAACAAACTTTTCTTTCCATAGTGGCAGTTGGGACTCTAGAATTAGAATTTCCTTTTTATAAGTTTTCATTTTAAAGAAAGTAGTGCAGCAACTACAGACTTCCTTCGGAAGTTCAGAATTCAAGGCAAAGAAATCGACACCTGACCACTGCATGCTATTTCCTATGAACTTAACATTTCTGTCTAGAACAGCAAACACAGTTACAAATTCCAAGGGTGCAAGAGGAACAAACCACAAAAACAACCACAAACCTAACTCAGAGGGAATCTCAGATAATGAGGTGGGTAGTGTATTATAAAAGATGATATATGAAACCTTTCCTGTAAAAAGGGCTTCAAATATTAAATGAGGAAAATATATAGAATTACCAACACCTATGAAAGAGAAAAGGTTACAGCTGAGAGCTCACCCCTGGCCGACGAGGGCAGAGCTGGACCAGGGGGGCAAAGAGCAGACTCAGGACCAATGCTGGCTCAACAGGCAGCCAGAATGAAAGGAGCCAAACAGATCTAAGGCAGGCTAATCCAACTGTGAGGGACACTGGGAAAAGCAGAGGAGTCAATTACATGCTGAAGTGCTGCCACTTTGTTAACAAGAGACATCACACAGTGCTTTTACTTCCTCTCCCCTCTATAGAAGCCTTTTTACATAAGCTTCATTATAAACCCTTTCTCTGTGCCTGGCCCACCTTTGGGTAAAGACATCTTCCCTCACCCGCCCTTGCTGTCACCTGTCTGACGATGCTCTGGATGAGCTTGTCCATGGTGAAGGCAATGTAGGCATGAATGGTGAACATCTCTCGCAGTGAATCTTCATATTGTGATGAGTCGATGTTGCCATCCAGGAGGCTACGCACCATATCGAGGAAAGCTGGATAATAATCCTCTACATCGACATCCACTGTGGGAGAGATGGGACAGGTAAGATCTTTCCCAGCAGAAGATCAGGAGAGCGGGCAGAGCAGGTCCCAGAGCTGGCCTAAGGAGCACTGAAAGAACCCTAGGTTCTTTTACAAACATGCTCCTCAATCTGCAGAGATCCAGTATGACAGGGGCTACAATCAGCAGTGCTATCAGAGGACAGTGACTCTGCAATACCACCCGCAGATTCTACCACTGTGACCATGCCAGAAAGACACTTATTGACAGGTAGGCTAGATTCTGCATGATAACGAGCAAAACATCCTAGGAAAGCCGTTTCTTCAAAAAGTTGTTGGCTTCCCTGCTGAGAGAAACCTGCTTCCCCCTGCTTACAAAGAGCATTCCTCACGATTCACTTGCTCACAAAGCTACTTCCAGGAAACAAAGGAGCAGATGAGAAAAGGCAGACACAGTAACATTTTAGCACTGGAAAACCTCTCAGAAACAGAAAAAAAGGTGAGCAAATTAAGTCCTCTATGAATAATGAAGTTATCTGCATTTGCCAAAGTCCTTTTGTTTAAAAATGAATTCCCAATGCTGTACTTCACGAACTGCATGAAATGATCTGCACATGAATCACTTCTGCCAATAGCTGGAATCTCATGAGTTGTTACAGAGACGTTGGCAACTAGCAGATGAAACGATGAAAGGAGTCTACTTGAAGTTTACTAAAATAGGACTCATTTATTTACATAAGGCTTAAGAACAGGAATGAGGGGGCTATTGGGGTGTTGGTTGTGTTTTCCTTGATCCAGGTAGTCGTTAGCAAGGTGTGTTCACTTTGTAAAAATTCACTGAGCTATACAATTCAGATTTGTGTACTTTTCAGTACATGTGTTGCACTTTCAAAAAAAAAGCTCACTAAAATGATGGAACTTTTTGTTACTGACACTTAGTTACCAGTTTATAAAGTTTGTACAGGGCCAAAAAGGCTAGGGACAAAAAGGCTAAGAGCAAATGCTGACTCCATTTCCATTTATCTGGACTGTGACAGACTCAATCAAGACAGACAAAACAGGACAATTACTGTTTAAAAACAGGAACTGGCTTGAGTTTCATCAGAGCATCACTGTGTTCAGATCACAGCATAGACATGAGCTGTCCTAGAGCCATAAAAAAATACCGTTGTGCCTGGCTGGTGTGGCTCAGTGGACTGGGCACCCGCCTGCGAACTGAAAGATTGTTGGCTTGATTCCCAGTCAGGGCATATGCCTGGATTAAGGGCCAGGTGGTGTGAAAGACAACCAACTGATGTTTCTCTCCCTCCCATCCCCTCTAAAAATAATCAATAAAATCTTAAAAGAAATAAATAAATACTGTTCTGCCAGAATAAAGCTATGAGTGCAATGAGCTATGATTGGTGAGACTGGCATTGTCACTCAAGACCAAACTAGGTAAGTCTCAAACCAAGGTTAAGTCAGTGGTCAAGCCAGGATTAGGCCATTTTCCCATTCCTATCCAAGCAGATGAAATCATCACACTGAGGTCCAAAAGTTGTCTCTCTCATGCTAGAATTAATATAGGTAAAGATTTTTAGAATTAATTACCAGGGTCATTTAGCACTTCAACATATTGAAGGCTAGGGCCACAAATGGGCTGCTTATATCAGTAACAGGTTAAAAAAAAAAAAAAAAAAAAGGTAATTTGTTCCACAGATTAGCTATTTCCTCAAGTGCACTGAAAGAAGAGTTCAAGAAAAAGTTTTTGGCTCACAGCTCAAGTATTTAATTTATGAACTGAATGCTATCCAGCAGTAGGTGGCACAGAATTACTTAAAGCACATCTTTGATTCCTTAACCTTTACTTTCCTTTTCCTGAGTTCTCTATCTTCATTCCTGTTCTGCCTATTCTGCTGTCTCACACTGTCTCTTGAGTTCTAATCTCCTTTCCAATCCCCTCTCTAGTTATTAGAATGAGCCATGAACCCCATCTCTGGTTAAGAAGTCCTGCCCAAGCACATTAGAAAATCCACATCAGTCTTAAGTATGAACTAAGAATGTAGTTCTGTCACGGAGTGGAACCAACTGTGTGCCATTTCATCCTTCTGTCCTTTAAAACCCCTTTGCAATAATAACCCAGAGATCTGCTATTTGGGAAACTGATCACAACTGATACCTCCTTCCCTGGTTGTCCGCAGTACTAGCTACTGAGTGTCCACGATCCAAGCACTACACAGGGTGGTTTGCGTACTTTCTCCAATTCTCCCAACAACCCCACAAAGTAATAAGTAGCACCTCCATTTTAAAGGGAAACAGGTTCAGACAGTTTAAGTAAGGTCACACAACCAGAAAGCTGCAGAGAGCATCTGAACCCCCCCCCGCCCCCACCCTGAGGCCTGTGTGTGCTCCATGTATAAAAGGAGGCAGTTCCAAGTCTAACTAAGTCCCGTCCCAAGTTCACCAACCCCACATCCCCTGTGAACCAGCAGTTTTGGCACTCACTAGGTTCTTTGAGACGCAGCTGGATGGCAGGACTGTCGCTCTTGTCTCGCTTTATGCCCAGCACTTCCCGCTCCCACTCCCTCTCTCGGTTTTCTTCTTCAATCTGCCGTTCTGCTTGGGAGCAAATCCGCAGAAGCCTCAAGCAGAGAATCTGGTGCAACCGCATAAAGATGTACCAGTTGTTATTAACATAGAAGAGGTTGTATACTTCATCCATCCCTCTTAGCTTCTGCGCTGTTGTGTTACTGAACAGTAGTTTGGACTTAGGGGGACTGCCCCCAACACCATTGTGCTTCTTAGACGCCCCTGTGGCTTCATCTACATCCATCTCTTCTTCTTCTTCTTCTTCTACATCCGAGAGATCACCCCTCTGAGCAAAGAGCAGATCTGGAATGAAGTGATGCATGATCTGCTTGATTTTGTACTTGTCCTCTTTCTGAATGCCTGCCTGTCTCTTCACATGATGGATAATCAAGGCAGCAGCGTCCTCCAAAATCTGCTTGTCTTCATAGGCCAGTGAGAGGTGTGGGCCAGCAGGTACACCAGCATTTTCTTCTGTAGCTTGCTCTTGCCTCTACGAGGAGACAGACACAAAGTAGTAAGTGCCATATCAACGGCAACAACAGACATACAAAACAACACCATCAGTACGTTCAATTAATAACCATAGTGGCTATTATTTTCCAATCCAAAACTTCCAGAAACAATAAAGTAACATGGAAGATGTGGTTTGAGAACAAAATATTGGTACCTTCTAGACTTTGAAGACATATAGGGGACAATGGTATAGAATCTGGAACATCTAAAATTCTGAATTAGTATTTATGGAGGACATAACATGAGGTCTAGGATTCACTTTAAAGTACTTCTGGGAGTGGGATGCAGAAGGTGCTAGATGTAACAACATTGGCAAAATAGGGATGACTAAGTTTATGCAAGAGCTCATTTTACTATGCTCCCTTTTGTGTGTATTTGACATTTTCAAAATAGAAAGTTTTTTAAAATTTAAGATCACACCACACCTAGGAATTCTCAACCACACTGCATTTATATTTCTATCCATCACCCAAGACTGTGAGGTCAAAGAAACAGGACTGCTTTCTTACTCATCTCTGTATCCTAGTTCTTGTAATACATATAATCCTTATAAGTATGCTGAATAAACGAGGATTAGAAAGAGTTTGGGGGGGTCAGTGAGAAGGATTTAAGTGGTGGGACAATGAGACAGGCTAATGAATACAATGTATTGCTAGAGGGAAGCAAATGGGGAGAGAGGTGGTGTTGTCAACTGAAACCAGGAGGGTAAACTGGGAAACCAGTGAGGTTTATTTTATTTTTTAAAACTTTATTTATTTATTTTTAGACAGAGGGGAAAGCGGGGAGAAAGAGAAGGAGAGAAACCTCTATCGGTTGCCTCTCAACACACACAATGGGGGACTTGGCCCACAACCCAGTTGTGTGCCTGGACTAGGAATCAAACCAGCAACCCTTCAGTTTGTGGGATGATGCCCAATCCACTGAGCCACACCAGTGAGGGAGAAAAGTGAGGTTTAGAGTTAAAATGGGAGAATCAGGAATAAAAGCCTATGGCAATTATGAAGCAAGAATCAACAAGTCTTAGAGGATCTGGCTTTCATATAACAATGCTAATTTCCAGAAATCAAAGCTACATGAAATACAAAGATTGGAGACCTCTCACAGGGGAAGAGACCTCCAGCTCACCTCATCATAGATACTCTCAATCTCGTTGAGTAAGCTCTTAGACCTCAGGACCTTGGTGTCGTTCTGTTTAAAGTTGATGCCCTGATGGTCCAGAGACTTCAAGTAGTATTTCTCATTTTGTTCTCTCCAAACCTTGTTAAAGCCCCTCTGAGCTTCTCGCCATTCTTCCTCTTTCATCTTCAACCTAGTAGGGTGTGGAGGTGGGGTGGAAACAACAAAGTGGGGAGTCAAACTCCCTGGATTGGAATCCTGGCTTTGCTGTATTAGAATAGAAGACTCTATTTCCTTACCAGTGAAATAAAAAAGTGAGAAATACGTCACACTTATTTACTTCAAAAGTTGAAAGATGTAATAGCCCTGTCAAAATTATTGGTGACTTAATAAATGTTATTCGAGCCAGTCTTTAATTCTGTTACATGGAGAAATTACTCATTCAGGATTCTGGGTAAGTAATTTGTCCCAAAGTCAGAAATCCTATCTAGAATAGTTTTTTCTCAACTCAGCATTTCATGGAATAACCTTCGAAGTAGTAGTTCTCATCCTTGGCCAGCCAAACCAAAGTTAAACAAGTTTCTTTGTTACAGAATCTCTAAGAATGTTTACTATGCTAATGTAAATGCAGAAGTCCAAGAACAGAGAGCCTGTACAGTGATGTTCTTTTAGACACAGTTTGGGAAGTTCTGATGAGAACAACTGATCCTAAACCCTCCAGATAAGGAGAGAAAAGTAAAATAAAAAACAACACAGAAACTAAATATCTCAAAGGCAAAAGTTAAATGCTACTGGCAAAAAGAAAAATAACCTGTGGCAGCATCTGAGGGGAAGACTAGATAGGGACACTAAAACTAGGGCATCTGTGCAGCAGAAAAGAATTGCTTTTTACCAGGTGATAGATATTGAGTGAGGACCCAGAGCTTAGCTGGGATTTATACTGTGGTCCAGAGTGCCATGGACTTGGAGGAGCCTGGGGCTCAGCCCTAACTCGAGCCCTTCCTTGATGCCTGATTGTAGATGGGTACAAGAGCCCCTCTACACGTCAGGCAGAAGGCTTATTAGGAGAAAGAAAAAGACATTCTTGGTAAAAATGGCCATCTAAGTCTTTTTAAGTAATTCATATCAATTTTACAAAGACAAAGGGTGACTCTTCTTAAAAATCAAAGATTTTACAATGGTTAGTACTGAACAGCAGGGAAAATGGATAGTGGTTTTGTTCTTTGTTCTTGTCTATACTTAAAGCATGGCCTCAAACACAGAGCATTCCACTATGGACTTTCAAGGTTTGTCCTCTACTGTTGGTTACCCAGAATCCCATCAAGGAGCTCCACCAGCATGCTTGCTTCAACAGCACATATACGAAAACTGGGAAAAAAGTAGCAGGACCCCTGAGTGAAAATAACACGCAAATTCGTCAAGCATTATAGATATATATTTTAAAGAAGTTCCACTATCCATCCCATGCTGTACCTGATTTCCAACAACCAGACTGGGGAGAAATGGAGGTACCATGGTCAAAAACGAACTTTATTTAATGGGACACATCCTGAAGCACATGAGCACAAAGGGCACACTTGTTCAGATACCTTTTAAGGACTATGGGGACGGCAATGGAGGGGTTCTTCCTCAGACCATCAATGATGTCAGCTGCTTTGTCAGCATATATCCTCTGGAGTGCTTTCCGATGGATGACTTCTGACGTGCCCCCAAGGGTGTTGTCCAAGCGAAACTTAGCTTGTTCCTCAGCAGACAGGCGGGAGAGCTTCTTCTGTATTGCTTCCAAAACCCGGATTGTTGCCAGATTGGTCTCTAAAACTACGTCAAGCTAAAGAAAATGACAAAGTGTGATCAGGACCCAAACCAGAACAGTAGTCAGGAGTATTAGGTGAGGAATCAACTTCCCTGGAATGGAATCCTGGCTCTGCCATAGTAGCCATAGAAGAGTCTTTTTCTTACCAATAAAGTAGGAATAATAGCACCTACTCTCATAAGGTTCTTTTCTGGATCATATGATAAAATCTACATGAAGGGTTTTGTGCAATACCTGGCATATAAAATCAATAAATGATGAATAAGTGGTAATCATTACTTCTACCACCACTAGTGTGTTTGGTTTATGACCACTAATCCAAGACTAGAGGGACCTAACAGGAAGCAGCAACCTTATGAACATTATTCCTTCAATTTCCCGAATTGCTAAGATGTTACAACCAGGGAAGAGGGGGGGAAAAAAATCCAAAGAGACAATTCAAGACGGTAACTCTCAGGCCTCATGAAAAAATTTTTCAGAGTAACCTGAAATTTAAATATTTGGCAGCCTTGCTCACATATCATTCCTTAAGGACTTCAATGTTGTATGTGTGGGGATCCATTTAAATTCTAACTGAACTCTTGGCACTTATTTTCTGGCAAGGGCCTATTCTGACCCAGTTAAGGCTATGACTGGCAGCCTTTGAGTTAACCTTTTTCCTAGCCTTAACAGAAGATTCTCTAAATGAGAAAGAGAAAATAAAGTAAATGAGTGGTCTCAAGGGCCTATGGCCAAATGCCCATGGAAGTTTCCCTAAGTTTTCTGGTTTTGGGACTGTGGTAATCATTTTGTCAAATATTTCTGGTCCCCCGACTCCCAATTTTGGACAAAAGATACACTGAACTTCCTGGCTCCCTTGTGATTTGATAGAACCATGTTTGTTAACTAGTTCTGTCAAATGAGTTGTGAACAGGTGGGTCAGAGTAATGTTATTACTTCCAGGCTAGAGCATTTAAGGGTACAAAGCCCTTCTGAGCAGTCTTTTTTCCTGCCAGTCACTGGCAGCCTGGGCCCCTAAGTAATTCTGATGAGCAGAATCCCCTGCTAGACATCAACGCACATGTAGCAAGATCAAAGAATAAATTCGTTTCTTCAAGCCACCAAGATTTGGGGATAGTCTGTATTGTAGGGTCATTTACCTATTCTGATGTATAAAACAACATTCCTTGGAAACCACCATATTGATATTTTCAGGAAAGTATGCTCCTTCAAATTAGTCCATCTCACCAAGCCTAAACACATACACACATACCACACTTCTGTCACCTTTACTGCTGTAATCACAAAGGGAAAATGAGGATGTTGCCTCTCGTTTGCATGCATACCAGTTGAGAACAGGAACATCCATCAAAAAAAGATGTCAATTTCTGCTTTCTAGCTCATCTAAACTTACTAAACACACAAAACAAAGAAATGCTTTCTTTAGCCTGATAAAATATTCCATGGAAGTTTACATCTATCTTGATTTAGTTTTCTGCAAATGGTAGAAGCTCCTCATAAACCCTTGGGTAGAGATGGCCAAGCATTTGCCAGTGGCCAAGTAACGTGGTCCTTCATTTACAACATGCCTGAGAAAGCTGGAGTGAGTGTGGGGGTAACTGGCAGAGGGCTAAATCAGTATGGGTTAATAAAGAGCAAGGTATCACCCATCCACAAGGATAAGCAGGGTCAGTCAGTTTTACGTAATAAATACATTAAATAGGATACAAGTAATTTTACCTCTTTAGACACAGTTAACATGCACTTTTCTTGTTGACAGTATCAGTGAACATCGGAGATTCAGAACTCATTTTCTGTACTCCTACTCCTGGCATAAGGGCTGTACCAGCTCATTTATTCACTCAAGCTCTTCCCTTTCCAAATTTAAAATAAAGTCCCTAATTTAACTTTCTTTCAAAAGGAACCACGTCAACATCAGAAATATGAAAGAAGAATATCAGCTCTCACAGGACAGTTGATTTGCCAACTACTGCTAAGAATAACAATACACTTTAAAATAATTTCAAGCAGCTTTAAGAAAGCCAAGTAGGCCTTACTATAGTACTAAGTTTATTTACCATGCGAAACATAATCACCTTTAAAATGGAATTAAAAATTCAAATCATTAGTCAGCTCCCAATGGATGTCAGTTAATGGGTCAGTAAAAGGGTTAATGTTGCCTAGATAAGTCACGTTTGCCACAAAAATACTACATATTTGACAAACTCTTAAAGCATGGTAAGGACAGTAAGCATTTACCACAAAAGAACATGAACCTCTGACTCTTCAGTCTTAAAAGCCAACCCTCACAGATAGGTATTTAAGCTATCTTATTCAGCTTCTCCCATTTTCCCAAACTTCAAATGATAAAGGAGATTGTACCTCAAAGCGTTCATCTTCACAACGATAGATATGTTCCTCATACTGAGTTTTCTTGGAACTAACAAAAGTGGAGTCCTCAGACCAGGAAGGAAAGGAAACCCAGGTATCATTTAAAACCTTTGGATAAAAGAAGAGAAACTGAAACAAAAGTGTAACAAAGCTTTCTGGTGATTAAACATTCTCAGTAAAAAGACAAAACTCTGGAGAAAGGAAGAACATTTAACATTACAAGTTTTACCTTTAGTAAGTTTACAAATGATATTAGATTAAGGAAAAGGTTCTGAATATAAGTATAAAACATTTTCTTTTGAAAAAAGACAGAAAAGGGTCTTGATTTCCACACTAATATAAATTCTTGATCCTTGAGACAATTCCTTTCTACAGAAAGCTGAAGATTTGGGGTTGCCCCTTTCTGGGGAGAAGGCCTTACCTCTTTACAGAGAGGAGTCCGTCCTGTGCACTTGGGCTGCTGGTAACTCTTTGGGAGGGCTCGGTAGCTGGAACCCAACCGTTTACAAGAGGCATAATCTATCTCCATGGCAATGCCTTCTGTGGCTCGTTCCTTTGGAAAGGTTTCCAAATGTACAGACTCCTTATAGCCCAGAAAGTTTTTAAACCAATTAAACAACTCAGGGAATTTTCTGAAAAAATCAAACCAAAATACTGGTGAACAATTAGAAGCATGACACACTTATCCTGAGGTATGACGGCCACTATCTGGTGTTGGGTCAGAATTCTGCTGGTATACCAGGACAAATTCCAACAGCAATTATTGCTTCTGAGCATTTGGCTTCCCCTTTTCTCATAGGGTGCTCTAAGGCCAATTAAGGTACTGATGGAAGAGTGCACTGAAATTAGACAAAACCAGCCATTTCCTAATCAAGAATACTGCTTCAATATTCAGATCATTCTTAGGTTGTCAGATATAGTCAAGATTCTAGAACCCCTAAGAGACTAGTTTCTATAAATACCTGACACTGATCAAGGGGGTCACTAGTCTTGGCCAATGCCCTTTGCATTTTTTCATCTCTAGAATTGAATAGACGATTCCCAGAAGACTCTTGACATTTTATGAGCCAAGTAACCTACCACAATCAAATTAATTTTGCCTATCATATACTCTCCCAAACTAAGTTTTATTTCACTTCCATATCATGTATCAGGTCTAAGCCCCCTCAACTCTACTTACCCCAGGAAAGGAGAGACTAACTGTACAAGCTCAGCCCGAGAGATAACCTCCTGGTTAAAGATAACAAGACAGCGAAGGAAATTCTCATAGGCCTCTGCACTCCGCAGAGCCTTTCGGACCTTATGGAGACAACCAGAAGAGAAATGGTTAAGTGGGGAATGAAGATATCCTGGATCACTTTTATTTTTTATTTGGTTTTAAAGATTTGTTTTTTAAAAAGATTTTTTTTATTTATTTTTAGAGAGAGGGGAATGGAGGGATAAAGAGAGAGAGAAACATTGATGTGAGAAGAGAAACACTGATACTGAGGATTCAACCAGCGATCTTTTGCTTTGCAGAATGACACCTAACCAAGTGAACCACACACTGGTCAGGGCGATCTGGGATCACTTTTAAATGATTAGGGAAATTTGAAGTTATCTTATAATACTAACACATCAATGTTAGTTTTTTCAGATGTGATCATGATATCTGAAAAAAGGCTTTATTTTAAAAGGAAACTCAGCCTTAGCTGGCGTGGCTCAGTGGGCTGGAGTGTCATCTTGTGACCAAAAGGTTGTGTCAGTGACATGCCTAAGTTACCGGTCTGATCCCCGGACCAGGCACAAACGGGAGGCAACCAATCAATACTTGTTTCTTGCATCAACGCTTCTCCCTCTCCCTTCCTCTCTCTAAAAAAGCAATGCAAAAATGTCCTCAGGTGAGGATAAAAAAATTTTTTAAAAAGGAAACTTACTAAAAATATTTATGAAAGAGCTAATATAATATGTGAGGTCTGTCTGCAGGTAATGAGGGATATGTCTGTGGTGGATGAGAGCACATGTGAAGGAAGTACACTGGCTAGCAGCTGGATGATGGGTACATGAGCAGTTCACTGTTCTCTTTAATTTCACCTACATTTAAAATTTTCAATAAAGATTTTACAAAATGAGATCCTGAAGTAAGACATTTACCTTCTCATATGCTCAACTTTCCAAACCCAAATCAGAGTTACCTAAGCTTTTGTTTCCTCTCCTAACAGATGTTTACAGCAAGAGTCTTATCAACACTGTTTTCAAACTCTGGTAATCTTATATAACGACCTTTTTAAATAAGATACTTGTGTCCTCTGACCCGATCCTTTTTCTCTTTCCATTTATAATACTGATCATTTTAATATCCAAAAACCTAAAAATGTTCACTGGCATAGACAAAATAAAACTAGCCTGGCTAGATGAACAAGCTGAAGTTTCAATTTCAGTAGTAAATACTTAGCATTGTGGTCCTTCAGTGGACAATCACAGACCATGTGCTTTTGTCAAGAACCCTTTCTCTAGGCTCCCATTTACTTTTCATAACTCCCAATCAGTAGATACTATATGGGATGTGTGCTTTCAAAGCCAAAGATAAAAGAGCACTTCACTGTTGTATAATACACCATATTTACTTTTAATATTTTTTAGCCTTTAAATATACAAAGAACAGTCTAACCAACCCCACATTCTCACCCAGCCTTAATGATCAATATATAGTAAATTTGGTTTCATCTATACCCATTTTCCCACCAGTGAATTTTAAAGTGAATTCCAGATATTTCATCTATACCTAATTCAGTATGTATTCAATGTCTCTAAAAAAGAAATACTCAAAAACAACAACTACAACAAAAATCACTCTTTAAAAACTAAACTTATTTAGCCTCCCAACCCTACCCTTTCCTTGCCATTTGCTGGTTGTGACCTGGACTTCTACACTGCCTTAAAAGCATCAAGTGCCCAGGCAGCCCTTGGAAATGACTCAAGTCAGAGCCAACAGCTCAACTATTTTGCAGAACAGCTCATACAGGCACCACAGGCTAAAGAGAGATGAAGATGCACCAATCATGGAAATGCTAAATCATCTGTCCTTTTGCAAAAACCCAAAATTGCAAGACAGGGTAAATCAGCAGAAGATCATCCCAAACTGGGTCCTGCCATTGAGAAGTCTGACAGTTGCCAGCAACTTTGATGACAGTAGCCTACTAATCATTAAGTTGTCTCCAAGGAGAAAAGTCAAACCAACACACCCTAAAACACTGTTTACACCAGTGATCACCATCACAGGCTGCTCATCAGAATCACCTGGGGAGCACTGAAAACATACAACTAAATCAGAATCCCCAGGAACCCTGTATGTGATACTGCAAGTGAGTATCCCAAGCAATTAAAAGATTATAAATCATTTTAAGTCTTCAACAACTGGTGCAGTGACACTCCTCACTCTCCATTGTACAGACCTGGACACCTGCAATAGGGAGCTCCAAACACCTTTTGAGAGCATTTAATATCATGCATTTTGTTAAAGCTATTTTTTTCTATGGAAAATGCTGTATTTTGCTGCAAACTATTTCACAAATCAAAGCAGACAATGCTACCATTTCTCTAGTTGTGTTAATATAGTAGACTGAAAGGACCTACAAACTGGAAACTATGTAAAATATTAGAAAGTCCTCATCAGCTTGATGTCTCTAAAGAAAAACGTACTTTTGGGAATGGGGTGATTTTCTTTTGCCAGAATGGCTGATATTAAATCTAATTAATTCATTTACTCACCTTATCAAAAAATAGTGATTCAGTTCCTACACCATGCTTGCTGGCATCTGCCATAGAAGAATCCTTTAGGCTGAGCAGTTTGGGTTTCTTCTGCAAAAAAGGAAAAATACAAACGTTAAGATTCAAAGGGTGAATTCCTCTGAGAATTATTTTCATGTGTCCAAATGGTTTCCTTATTAACCATCACTGATTAATAATTTGCAACAAGTCAGAGAATTCAAGTCACTAACTTGCTTTATACTCTACAAGATTTCCACCTATATTATCTCTTTCAGTTTGCCTGTCAGTTTTTTCCCCAGAGGTTCACAGATCATTCTGCTCCCCAAATATCCTCTCTACAAATGGTCACAGAATTAATATCCTTAGTTTTTCCATGGGCCAAAAGTAACTTTATTTGGAACATAATGCCAATGCCTTGTCTTCCTAGCTGTGGAGCAGAAGAGATTGTAAAAAGAGCTGGAGCATTATTGCCTAGAGTGGAGAGAAATCAACCTTTAACTTTTAATTACAGTTCAAATGAAAAATTCATGAAAAGAACATAGCATATTTTCCTAACAGAAGGAATAACTATCTTGTCAGCAACATTCACTTAGACCAATTTAAGACTGCTCTTTCAAAGGGAACAAACAGGTCACAACTTAACTGTCAGGCAAGAACTCATTTTTAAAAAGCAACATCTCAACTATCTGTGAAGGAACACAAACTCTGGGAGGCGCAGCCTATTTACCTTTGCTACCCCAGAGCTCACTTGCTGAGGAGCCATAGCCGCTGCTCACGCTGCCTGAGCAGAAAGTAGGGAAGGAATCCTAACCCCCAATGTAGTGTTTCCACCTGTGGGTAATCACGTGGAGGAGGAGAACAACTCATGAGTGGAGCAGATCTGCTGACCTGATTCTTGCTACCCATATAAATAATACTTTTTACTGAAGAAGCAGAAACTATTACTATGTTCAACTTGCTTTCAAAAGAGAAACCATTACAAACACTAAAAAAACAGTCCTTCAGAAGTATCAACAACACCTAACATGTCAGTCTTTGTAATTATCTGCTTGGTCACCGGTCATCTCTTACTATTAGAAATTCCACTCGCATTTATTCCTTAACAAAGCTCTGCAAACACATCTCTCTTCCATGTTATGTACTGCTTTAAAATTTACTAAAGCAACACTGTCCCTACACACCTAGCCCTTTCCACGTCAAAGAGGAAGGGAGCAGTCTCAGCTTTCTGCAGGCAGATCAGCACTGTTTACTGTGACAAGAAGCATCATTCACAGATTACTAACAGTAGTTTAGGACCTCCTCCTGCTATAGCCGAAAGGTCCTAACTCAGAAATTAGGAGGATACAGATAAGATCAGGCAACCCAACAAAGAACCTAGGGAAGGAGGGCTCTCTAGACCAAACAGATCTCACAAAACACTTGCATTTTACTCACAAAGAACCTCAGAGACCACTGACTTGTATCTGAAACAATCAGCAAGCTCAATAATCTTTCTTAGCACAAGGCAGTTTTAAGGCATCAATCAGACGGAAAAGTTAATGTCTCAGAACCCTTGGCAGAAAATAAAAAACAGATGACAGCTAGTAACGAAGAGAGAATACAGAGAAAACTAATAAAAACTCAAAAAAGCACAGTGATGTGAACCATTAGTGGTATTCTAACATTCTTTTGCAAAGCCAAGTAAGAAGCTTTACACTGAGTTTCTGTGACATGCATCCTCACTCTGAATATCCAGGATCCAATAGTCTACACGTGTAGGATAAGAACACAGGACCATTACAATTGCTTCTGAAAGTCCAAGTGAGCAGCCACTACTTGTCCTCACCTTCACTGGAGGAGTGGTTCCTGTCCCAGAATGCCTCCGGATCTGGCAGCCATTCTGGCTGGGCCTCTGTGGCTTGTTGTTCAGTTGTGGCTTCTTCACAGTTCCGCCATGGTCATTTCTCACAGAATCAACCTTCTCTGCAGTTGTTTTGCTTAAAAGCTAATTAAGACATATGAAAGAGATTAATGCTCTCATCAAAGCAAATATCATTTAGAAAAAGTGACTTTCTGATTCCAGCTTCCTAACTTAATATAAGATAATAATTCTAAATAGTGTAGTGCTTCTAAATAAAACTTACCACAGAGCTGTTGGCGTCTGGTAAAAACTGTCCAAACTCTGACAACAGATCTTCCTGATTTTTAAAAAGACGAGCCACCTGAGCATAAACTTCCTGCTCAGTCAATGCTGGAGTGTAGTTTCCTCCAGCTTCCTTGGCATTTCGCTGCTCTTTCTGATAAATTGCAAATGGGAAGAGACCATTACTGGAGGAGCATGGTTTTGAATGAATCACTTTTGCACATTTTTTGAAATGTCTGATAGGAATTCTGTACGTTTTCGACTTGGGCTGCATTTAAGAAGAAAGTCTATAATCTTAGCAACTGTTTTGACTACAAGCTTTGAGTGGAGAAAGAAGTGGAAGATGGTGGTTGACAATTCCTTTTAAAACTAGGGCAGTTAATATGTGCATGTGCAGGGGACCACTATCAATTGATAAAACACAGAACATTAGAGAAATTTCTCCTACTGTAGATTAACTTTACCACACAAGTCATCCCCTAAACTTCCCACATAAATAAGTACTCATTTTACAGTACCTTTAAAAATCCTAACTACCTGCTATAAGGCAATTAAAGCCAGGCAATCAATGCTTTATAAATATATACCACAGTTTCTAACTGGTTCATTTCCAGTTAAGAATTAGGGGACACAATAACATTTATTCAACTTCCTCTTGGACTAGATGCCCCCAAAGGGTGACCTGGTTAAGACAGGTTGGAAGGGCAACTCTCTTACCTGATATGTGTGCAAGATCTCCAGGAATGCTTTGTAGATGTCTGGTTGGCCCTGGAACCTGTTCTTGATCTTATTAACATAGTTGATGGCATGATTAAACTCCACAGGCTGATTGTTCTGCAAGGATGGGGCCGTTCCCAACGAGATTGTCACTGGTGTATGAGGTTGGACAGGTGGAGAGCGTGGGGATGCATATGGTGGGAGTGGGGGGGTCTGCTGGCTGGCGGGAGTATGTGCTTGTAGTTGGGAAGGCTAAAAAGAAAAAAGTCTTTATTCTCCTCAGGAACACAAATGGTTTGACACAGAAAAAAAAGTTCAAAGTAAAGAGAAACAAGATGTCTGATTAACTTATTCACACCAGCCTGGCCATTTCAGCCCAACTCAAAGAGTAGATGGCTCACAATTCTAAATCAAATATTTCAGTCTCAAAATTTCTGAATACAGCCTTAAAAGTAGATACAGGGAGGAATTTTAAGCACACCAGCTCAACAGGTGCAAATAGAATGGGAAAAATTCCTCATTCTACATATGCTATATCTTTAGTGTCAAAAAAGACACTTCAATGTTATAGTAACTCCACATCAAAGTCTTCCATACCAGCTTGGTCCAACAGGACTGTCTGAAATGATATAGAAATGTTCTTTATTTACACTGTCCTGGATGATACCAACTAGCCACATGAGGCTACTGAGTACTTGAAATGTAGTGAATGCAAATGAAAAACTGGTTCCTTCCCAGTAAGAATTAGGGGACACAATATTTATTTTAATTAATTTAAATTTAAATATAGGCATATGTGGCTAGTGGCTACTGTTATCAGACAGTGCAGTTCTAGACCAAGAACATCCATGATTATCATCATTGTCATAAACAGGATCTTCTGCTTAGCTTGATGTGACCTAATCTGGTAAATGGAGTAACTTCTATAAAATGATGACTGTGCAGAGGCAGGAGCATAATCTGGTAAGATTATGACCAATTCTGCCTGTGCTGTCAAAGTACCACTACACAAGCAAAACTGCTGCTTATTGGGATGCTCTTGGGTTCAATAAGCAGAAGCTGGGGACAAGAGAGTCCTTGTAGGTTGTTGAGGTCTTGATTTAAACAGATATCTAAGTATGTGGTAAGTACATGTGAACCACTTTATATGGATGTGACTACTGAACCTTCTCTGATGAAATCACTGTAACATATGTATCTATTCTTACATAAAGGGGGAATGTTAAAGAAGGCTGCTTTCTAGAGATACATTTCATGTGATGCAAAAAATTCCAAGCTCACCTTGTTGACTTTGGCAGGTGGGGGCTGAGGAGCTGGCTGGGCAGGAGCTGGGGCTGACTGGGCTGAAGGCTGGGAAGGATGCTGGGGTGGTGGCTGAGGCTGGGGCTGGATGCCATGGGTGGGAATCTGATGAACCTGGCCAGGAGTTGTCACATTCACCATATCATTGGTTTGCACTTCAATTTTGTAGCCAGGGGGCAAGAAAGTATTGAAGCCCATGATCAGGTCTGGGTGGCCTTTGAACAGCTGGGACACACGACTTATCACTCCTGGAGTGTCAATGCTAATTAAAAAAGCAAAAACAGAAATTGAAGTGGCAAGACTGAAAAACACACTAGTAAAGAAAAAATTTCACATTACATTACATTTTCTAATAGGAAAATAAAAATCAACCTGCATATTACAAAATTAAGGACATATGAAAAAATCCAAAATTTCACAGACATTTACTTCTTATTCAAAGAGATTTGGTCACAATTTTTAATAGAACATACATTCATGGTAACAGTCCTATCAAGCTAAGATACTCAGATAAATCTAAAGCTGCAAACTCCATGCAAGATCCAACCTGTGATACACCAGTATAAATCATGTATCTACACTGTTCAGATTAGTTAGCTATTCTCTTATAATAGTGAACCATGCCAGAATATTAGTGTACCTTAAGTCAAAGAGCAAGTAACCTAATCATTCCAGTCTGCTCCTTTGGTTGACGTGAAGTCCTAAGAAAACTTTAGTTTAAGAAAAACTTACCAATAGGGAGAGAACAAAGATCCAGGGCCTATAATTTTCATCACTAAATCAATACATAAAATTAAAGCATGACCCTGAAAATTAAATGCCCAAAAGGACACATCCATTATCTTTCAGGAAATGAGAATAGACTATACCTATATCCTCCCTCCAAAATCAACATTCCAAGCACAAAGCTTGAGTACACCACAGATATCTTTTACCTTTGTGATTTAAATTCCTTCATGATGTCCAGGAAATCATTGTAGACCTGAGGCTGACTACCAAACTGCAGCTTCACCTGGTCAAGATAGGATAGCGCATCTTCCACCTGAGGCAGGTAATAAAAAGAAAACAGCCCAAAAATTATGAAAAAAAGAAATAAATGATTTATGCCTAAATAAAATTAATGTAGTAAATGAAATAGAAATATATAGTAAATACACATGAAAGTATTAAAAATGAGTATGGATACTAATAAAAAAACTCAAGCTTCAAATAATAACTCAAGATCTGTAGCCTTCCCTTGCATAATTTTGGAGAGAATGATTAGTGAAGAATACACATTGACATCTCATTCACTTACTCATTCATTTATTCATTTCACAAATATCTACTAAAGCTACAACATGCTATGCCAGGCCCAACATGGGGTACTAAAGAGTCAATGACAAGCCACAATCCCTGCTCTACAGAAGTTCACTCACATCTAGCTGAGAATCGTAACACAGTGGGATAAGTGGGTAATCACTGAACACCCCAGAAAGCACATGAGAAAGACACAAAGGCTTCCCCAGGAAGTAATCTGTAAACTGAATGTAAGGATGAGTATAAGTTAATAAAAGTGAAGACCTGTGAAGAAAGTCAGAGTGAACAGCATGGGCAAAATCCCAGAAAGGACACCATCTAGCACACTTGGAAAAACACAATTTACTTTGGCTGGAGGATTTGTGACAAAAAGGAAGAACGGTGACAGGAAGAGCAGCAAGAGATGGGACAGAAGAGGAAGGAGGACATGATCCTGAAAGGTCTTGAAAATTTGTTAGAAAGCAATTGAGCCCTGGCTAGTGTGGTTCAGGGGACTGAGTGCCAGCCTGTGAATAGAAAGGTCACTCATTCAATTCCCAGTAAGGGCACACACTTGGGTTGCAGGCCAGGACCCCAGATAGCGCATACAAGAGGCTATCGATGTTTCTCTCCCTCTCTTTCTCCCTCCCTCCCCCTCTCTCCAAAAATAAATTTAAAAAAATCTAAAAGAAAGAAAGAAAGAAAGAAAGAGAAAGAAAGAAAGGCGGCAACTGAGATTTTTATCATCTGCACTTTAGTGTATTCAATGTGGCTACAGTGCTGAAACAAATTGGTGAAAGGGCAGGATAGATTGAAAGGAAGCAGGAAACCAGTTATGCCCTAAGGCTACCTCACATGTGAACAATTGTGGCTTGATTTATAGTACTGACCAAAAGAACAGGGAGAACTGGATAGATTCAAAGGCTTTTTAGGACCCAGAAGTGACAGGGATTGGGGACTGACTAAATATGGGAGATAAAGAAGAAGGAGAATTCAATAAATTATAAATTATTTGAGCATTTACAAAAAAGGAACAGTTTGAAGGACTAGAAAGTTATATCTGATTTAGAACAACTTGATTTTTAATTACTGAGGAGCTATCCAAGGAAATCACCTACTAGGTGTTTCCTGTATGTTCTGGGATTATTTTAAATTACTGTTATTTTGCCGTGTATAACGAACACCCAAGTTTTGTGTGCATTATACACGGGATCATTATGCCCATTGTTATACCGATGAATAATGCACATCCTTATTTTTCCCTCAAAAATTTGGGCAAAAAGGTATACATTATACACAGCAAAATACGGTATACAAAATATCAAGTTTACAAAAGTTTCAAAAATAAGTATGTGACTTGATAAGCTCTACTCCTGTGATAAATATTGTGAAATAGAATATTTATGTTTAAATAAACTATTATGTGACTTTTCAAGAGTTGCCCAAATTTCCATAACAGCCAGTTAATCATGATTGAGTATTTCAGTGTTGCTAGAGCACATATTATATACTTGACCCACTCATTTCGTGGTTGGTTTTTCTTTATTTTACAAATAATATGACAATTTCTGTTGAAATTCAATACACTATTTAATTCATAATCAGAACCATCCATATTGAAATTGGACATTAATGACGAGTTGATCGAACATAAAACTCATTTAAGTTTGCAGAAAGAACAAAGACTTTGGAAGATATTTAGAAACAGCATTTATAATCAAGTGACAAATGAGGACTTATAAAAAATAAACATACACCAAAAAAATAAAAATAATAAACAAGCATGCTATGGTATAATATAATTACTACAGAGAAAGAAAAAGTACAGAAACCTAAAGGAAAGAAATTATATGCAACGTGTGTATGTTTGGAAGGAAAGGTACAGGACATAGTGAACCCCTATCTGAAAAGTAGTTATAAAATAACAACCATGCTTTAAAAACCAGCTTAACACCCACATTATGAGATATATGAATGTAAAAATAGAGAGGAAATTCTCTAATTACCAGAAGTATAATTCAAAAGCAGGTATGCAATTCTATGAACCACAACTCAGAAAAAAATTATTTAGAACTAGTCATTTAGAAGCTACACATCTGAAGAGGCACAAGGGGAGACCCTTAGACTCTGCTGAAACACTTTTGTGGCTAACTTCGAAAAGAATTTATTAAGGTCCCTAACCTCCTAAAGTTCATGATCTTATTGGGGAGAGGAGAAAACACAAACTATAAAGAGAACTTGCGAAATATGTGCCAAATATCTATGCTGCCGTCATTCAATAAATAACTAAATCACACCAAGAAAGCCTCAAATTATGTGTATCTTCCTTGTCAATATGCCAAAGACAAAAAAGTATAGACAGTGTTGATGCTTGAAATAACCTACGCGTTCTCACTGGACACTTCCTTATTACAGAATATAAATGGCTTACAGAAGTGGGTTCAAATGCTTGTAAAGCCTTTTAAGACTGATCCAAAAATGGCAGGCTATGTGGGAATGCTGAATTAAATTACATGAAGGTACAAGAAAGCATTTTCTCTCTCCTCATTAGAAAGAAAATGCAAGTTTCTGTGTTCAGGAATCACATTCAAGAGCTTATAACTAAAAGAACAGAGCAAGAAGTCCTAACTCGACCCATGACTCACTCTATTAACCAACTCCAAAGCCAGCTCTTGCTTCCTTTACAGTTTCTGTAAAACAGATAAAGCAGTCTATTTATACCCTAGTGAGGAAGGTAAGTAAAATAGATGCTGTGCTTTGATAGAGCTGGCTGACAAAAGCTATAGAAATAAATATTTTCATTAGCTTAACAGTAAGTTTATAAGGTCTTTTCCAACATTAGACATTGACTGCTGAATACAGTATGAATATGAAATTAAATCACATCAAATGAACTTCAAAAAATATTTTCAGGGACTGGTGAAGTGCTAAGTCTATGGCAATAACACATTTTGATACATAGATATCACTCTACAAGCAAAGAGCAAAATGTTTTAAGGAAACCAACAATATAGATAACATGCATTTTCCCAAATACAGAGCCCCAAATGAAGTTTCAGGCCCAAATAATTTGTACTCTTTAAAGACTATGCTTAAATATAGTCAACTCATTACTTAAGCTAATATAGACAAGGTAAATTTTACAAAATCCTTCTATACAGCTCAGCTTTAGTACGCTTTAGATTTATCTATCATTTACCTTCCTTAAGCCAATATCAAACAAGTTCCCGAGAAACCAGAGCAAGGAGGGCAGGGTCAGGGAGAACTAGACTAAGTGTCAAGGAAACAGAAGGCTGAAATAATTGCTATACATGATGTGTTCTTCAAGGGTATATTTTTCATTCCTACCTGCAAGATACTTGATATAATTAGACTGATAGGACCAAATAAAGATTCAACATCTTATCTCTTTACAGTTCTTTAATTTTTATTTCCTGCACTTGAGTTTAAGCTTTATATAAACGTAAAAAAAGAAAAACTAAAATCTAAAACACTTGCTAAAACAATCACACATTTAAAAAAAATAACATGCAAGTAAGCAGACAAAGATTAGCTGCAAACAAATTTCACTTCTCCACAGATGCCTCATAAAATTTCAAAGCACTGAAAACCTATGGCATATACTCAGCAGAACAGATGAAAACACTAACACTTCATTCAAAATTAAAGTCTTCCCCAAACTTCCCTCAAAAGGAACATGTGTTTTACTAAAGATGGACTTGAAGATGCCAGCCAATTTAGCTATTCATAAACAGGAGTTAAAAGATTAAACCACAGCATAGTACTGGGCCCATTTATTGTACAGGACTGTAGCCAACCATGAGTATGCACAATAAAACCTCATACCATAAGAATTAAGAACTAAGAGTTCAAAAGGAGGCATCCTAAAAATATACTTTTTCGATATCATATGCAAATAGCCCCTCAATCCTGATCTGTCTTGAGTGCCATGCATTCATAAATTCCAGAAAAGATTCTTGAATGTATCCTCTGGACCAGGCACTAGCGTTAAAGTGGGGAATCTCAGTAGGTTTCAAAACAAAAACGAAGTAAAACTCAACCCCTAGTCTAGTGTGTTAAAAGTTTGTAACATCACTAATGATAGACTGCAGCCAATGTTGCCTTCTATGAGAAACTTCTTTGATGGAAGGAAAAAAGCTGAACACCACCTTGAGCCTCTGAAACTGCTGCTGTCCCTGCACTGGTGCAACTGGAGGGGCTGGATGAGCATGACTCTGGACCACCTGGCCTCCATGGGGCTGCACAGCTGTTGGGTGGTGATGGCTGCTATGAACCGCTGCTATGGTGGGTCCATGACTGCCACCGGAGCCCTGTGGTACAGCTGACACCTGGGGTGGACAAAATAGATACATCAAAGTTCAAGGCTGTGCATTTTTCCTCAAATGTGTCTAAAGAACATGTATACACAAAGGTGATTAGAAACCCAAATTCCCCACAAGATGAAATTAGTGAAATAAATTATAGCCCACTCATAAGATTCTCTGCATTCTGTTAGATATTAAATAGCTCGGTACTTCTCAAACTATCTGTGGTTAAGTATCAGTTTTTCTTTTTTCTTAAATCCCAATCTACCATGGGCCACTACTTTTTATAAAATACAATAGAAATGAATTACCAGAAAAGTGAAATAAAATGTATTTAAACCCGCTCTAACCAGTGTGGCTCAGTTAGTTGGGCATTGTTCCATGAAGCAAAAAGGTCTCTGGTGTGCTTCCCAGTCAAGGGCCTAGGTTGTGGGTTCGGATATAGTAGGGACACTTATTAAGAGGCAACCAATCAATGTTTCTTGCTCATATAGATGCTTCTCTCCCTCTCTTTCTCCCTCCCTTCCCCTCTCTCTAAAAATAAACAAATAAAATCTTTAAAAAGATTCATAAACCCATAATTTTCATTATTGGATTTTACAGATATAAAATTACAATGTTGGCTCTGGCCAGTTAGCTCAGTTGGTTAGAGCATCATCCCCCTACATGCTAAGATTGCAGGTTCAATTTCCAATCAGGACACATACAAAAAGCAATCAATGGATGCATAAATAAGTGGAACAACAAATAGATGTTTCTCTCTTTCTCTCTCTCCTTCCCACCTCCCCTAAAAAAAAAAAAAAAAAAAAATCAGTAAATAAAAAATAAAATTACAATGTCTGGTTGCTATAAGTCTTTAAACACTAAATTTCTGTTTATCTTATTACAGGTTAGTAAGAAACTATATACCTCAGCCATCAGTGAACTACATTTTAAACAGCACTGATATAGATGCAAATATTTTAACATTAAAAAATGTTCACAATCTAGTAAAGGGTAAGAGGAGCTGCACATATGGTGACAGAAATTTGACTTTGGGTAGTGGATATACAATGCACAGAAATGTGCACTTGAAACCTATAGTAATTTTATTAATCAATGTCACCCAAAAAAATTTAATGAGGAAAAAAACTGTTCATAATCCATAAGCTGAATGTATTCATGTGTTCCGTATAAAGCTAAACTTAAAAAAAAAATTTAAAAACACATTACTGAGCAGTATACATAATACAATTAAAACATTTTAAATCCTTGCCCTGACTGGTATGGTTCATTTGGTTGAGTATCCTCCTGCAAAGTCTAAGATTGCCAATTGAATTACTGGTCAGTGGAGCCGGGTCCCTGGTTGGGGTGCCTGCAAGAGGCAAGTGATTGATTCCCATTCTTCCCATTCTTCCTCCCTCCCATTCCCTATGTAAAAATAAATAAGTAAAATCTTTAAAAAGAATAAAGAGCTCTGGCTGGTGTGGCTCAGTGGACTGAGCGCTGGCATGAGAACTGTAAGGTTGCTGGTTTGATTCCCAGTTAGGGCACATGCCTGGGTTACAGGCCAGATCCCCAGTTTGGGGTGTCGAGAGGCAACCAGTCGGTATTTCTCACCAACTCTTAACTGACTGATGTTTCTCTCCCTCTCTCTCTAAAAAAATAAATAAATCTTTTTAAAAAATAAAGAAGGAAGAAAGAAAAAAAGATTTTTAAACCCTAGACAAAACATATATATCAAAATGTTAGTATTTTATCTTGTGGTGGCAGAGTTAGAGAAGATTTTTACTTTGTTTTCTTTATTTTGCTTATCCTTATTTGCTCTTTCTGAAACAAAAATTTCTTCCAAATTGTTGGTGATTTGACTTCAGACATCTTTTTTTCTATTTTCTCATTCATATTCATTCTCTCTTTTCTTATCCTTTTTAAGTTTAGGGGCGATATAAAAGCACAAGACCCTTTCTTCCCATTTCTATTGCAAGAAATGCTATACAAAATTTTCAAACCTTTTTAATTTTTCTATTTCAGAATTGTTAATCCCAATAGAAGATGACTAAAGACAAATATATCTGATTTGTCATATTTCCAAAATAAGGATAGCAAATAACATGAAACTTTCTCTAAACAATGTAAGTTGTGTACTACAACTTAAAAGATACTTCCCCTCGACCACAAGTCTACAAATTTATAAAGATTATCCTGGGCAAATGGGTAGGAGGGAAATTGAGCAACTACTTACAAATCCACAGAAATAATACAATATACATTAGGAGTAAAAGAAAAAAAAACCCCAAAAACTATTGAGACAATTCTAAAAGCTCTAATATATCTCACAAGAAGGGTTATTATATTAAGCTTCTAATTCTAACATGCATAGTTGGACAGGTTTTTACAAGACTCAACTGGAGTTGGTAATTATTTGAGATAGCTGGTTTTATATGAGCACATTATAGTTTCTAACATAGGAACAGATATAACTTATCTCAAGTGTAGGAAACAATCATGAACCTGTTCAGATAAAAGTAATCAAGGAAATCAAGCAACCTTTCTCCCTTCCAAATCATAAAAGAGTTGATTTTAGCAGTCCTCTGTCTATGAAGTATATGAAGGCATTATCCTGCTTCAAGGGGGACTACTGAGGAAGAGTGACACACTTAAGGACTCACCAAAACCTACTTTACCTGGTTTCCCTCTTCCCTGATTGTTTTCTTATTACTGAAGAATCTGACACAAAGTGTCAAACTGCTCTCAAGAAAAATTATACCCATTTACATTCCCAGTACCAGTCATAGCTTTTTAAAAGTCACTAACAAGTTAGGTTAAAGAAGGCCTCTCCAGACCAGTTAAGTAAATTATGGTTCAGAGGACCCAAGGTGTTACATTACAAATGTAGTGACTTTTTAAAAATTACTTGGATCTATACAAATTCAAGTAGAAAGTTTTCTACTATATATTAAGTGAAAAGAGCAAATAGCAGAGTAATATATACTGTATGATCCAAATTTGTAAAAAGAGATTTATATCTAGATAGCTAGGCAGGAAAATACTGAGGTCTGTCCAGAAAGTATCCAACCATACATTATGAGAAATAGAGACATTTATTGATGAAGATACAATAAACATTGTATATAGGACAATGACACTTCGGTCCCCTTCTAAGTAGGCACCTGGGGACCTCACACAGTTCTCCCAGCATTTCTTTCACTGTTCAAAACACTGCAAAATCCTTTGTTATAATAGCCATCAGCTGCCCTGTCATATTTTCCTGAATCTCATCAATGGTCTGAAATCTCTTGCCCAACAAGGTGATTTAATTTTTAGAAAAGCCAGAAGTCACAGAGCACCAAATTTAGGCTGTAGGTGGGCCAAGTCACCTCGGTAATTTGATGTTTCACCAAAAAACTCCGCACAAGATGTGACGCATGACCAAGCACGTTGTTGTGATGATGCAGCCAATCACTGGTTGCCCATAGCTGTGGCCTTTTTCATCAGCCGAGAAGAACATTGAGGTAGTACTCCCTATTAATAGTTTGGCCCAGAGGGGTGTACTTGTGATGGACAACACCTTCTCAATAAAAAAACAGTTAACATGCTCTTGATCTTGCTGCAACTTTGCCATGCCTCCTACAGGTGTGGAGAATGAGGTGACTTCCACTGGGATGACTAGGCCTTCATTTCTAGATCACAGCTGTAAACCTACCATCCGTCTCTAGTTATGACCTTCTTGAGGAAATCTGGTTCATTGGCAGAGGTTTGAATCAAGTCATTAGTAACTGCGGGATGATGTTCCTTCTGCTCTGGTAGCAGAAGCAACAAAACGAACTTTGCCACGACGTGTTTCATGCCAAGATCTTGTGTCAAAATCCTGGACACAATTTTTGGAATCCTCAGATCAGCTTCTAGTTCTCACACTATCAGTCGCCAGTCTTTGTTGATTGCAGTCTGTACATGTTCCACATTCTCAGGTGTTCTGCTCGTTGCAGAGCTTCCAGAACGTGGATCACTGTCAACAGATTCACAACCATCTTTAAAGTGTTTTTGCCACACTTTTATTTGCGCGGCACTCACTGCATCATCCCTGATGATTAGAAGACTTCTAATCATCCGAATAGTTTCTGTGGAGGAATGTTCAAGCTTAACACAAAATCTGATGCAGATTCACTGCTCTACTCACTCAGTCATTTTGAATGCGATGGCCACACAGCACACATGCTCACTCAGTGACGTATACCACCCCCACTGACTAGTATGGGGAAATTGTCGTTCACACATGCTCATTCCAGTCCACTATGCTTGGCTGTCAGGTTACATCAATATCATGCAAAGCATTCTCATTATTTTAACAATGGCCAGGCTTTTTCCTGACAGACCTCGTATAGGTATGTTTGCATATGCATACAAAATTTTGGAAACCCAAGAAATATACCAGCGGGATATAGACTGAGGGGTCAGAGGAAAAGGTAGTCTTAAATCTTTAAAAAAAAAAAAAAAAAAAAATGTTGATGTTGCCCTGGCTGGTGTGGTTGAGGCCCTGACTGGTGTGGCTCAGTGGATTGAGCACTCGCCTGTGAACCGAAAGCAGGTTCAATTCCCAGCCAGGGCACATGCCTGGGTTGCGGGTCAGTTTGCCAGCTAGGGGAATGTGAGAAGCAACTGATCCATGTTTCTCTCACACATCAGTTGTCTCTCCCTCTCTTTCTCCCTCCTTTCCTCTTTCTCTAAGAAATAATAAATAAATAAATGGTGATGTTTACTTTCATAATTTAAAAAAAAATATCAAATTTCTTCCATTTTTGCAAAGCAGAGTAAACAAGACGAGATGAATTATCAAGCTGGTCAAGATGTGGAACAACAGGAATACACAATGCTGGCGGAAATGTATAAATTGGCACAACTTTGAAAGCCAATCTGACACTACCTGCTAAAGTGAAGATGTGTACACCCTAGCACCCAGCAATTCCTCTCTTAGATACACAAGCAACTCTTTCTCACGTGCCCTCAAACCTGCTGAGTAGTCTGACAGAGAAGATAAGGAGTTTGCACCAAACTGTAAACCGACTACTTCACTAATAAGCGCATTGTTTAATCCAGCTGCCTTTTTTCCCCATAGCAAGACTCTCTTGATAAACATAGTATGTTCTTTTAGATTCTGGTGCAAACCACTGTGAATACCACTGCGCTAGAGAATCAACTAGAACATTCACAGTAGCATCTTTATAAGAGCATAAATCTGGAAACAGACTGGTTGTTCATCAACAGAATAAATAAATTGGATATATTCATATAATTCATAACAGTGAAAATGACTCAGTTACACAGAAAAATATGGCTAAGTCTTGGGAACCACACCGAGTGGAAAAAAAAGTGAGTTAAAAAAGAAAACACACATTTTCAGTTATATAAAAGTACAGAAATACCCAGACCAAACAATTTTATTGTCTAGAGATATAAACAAAATGACTTATATAAAGTCAAGGAAATGATAAATGCGAAGTTCTGATCAGTGGCTACTCAGAAGGGACAAAAAGGAAAAGGGGTTACAGAGAAATACACAGTGAACACCAAGGTCATAACAACCTTCTTTTTAAAAAACTTATGTGGTAAGTATGTAAGTGTACATTGTTTCCATTATTTTAATACCTTACACATATCCCGTGAATATTTTATATCTTACTGAATGCTTAATAAAAACTGTTCTAACTGAATGAAACCATCATGCTGGCCTTGGCGCAGTGCCTCGCAGCGCCAGCTCACCTGATAGCTGGGAGTGACGGAGTACTGAATGCCTGTGGCTGATTGCATGGTCTCGGCCACAGCCTCATACACAGGAGGGGCAGGGGCGAGCACACGGTGCTGGTGAGGAAAAGCCTCTGTGCTACCAGGGATCCGCCTCTGCTGAGCCGCATACACCGGAGACTCCTGGTCATCCAAACGTCGCTTCATTCTGCACTCATGCTCGGGGATGCACTAATAACCTGCAGAAACCACAAGCACAACATGCACACCAATTTGCGCACTGTACCATGTGTGCAATTTAGGACCAGTCCCCAGGTTTAATATAAGCTCCCTTCCCAGAACTGATTATCTACTGCATTCTAGGGATGATCACTGGGTAGTGTAAGTACATGCTTGTATACACACACCCAACATGAACCGGTTATCATAACTGAAAGACAAAATTTAAATTACAGCATAATTTAAATTAGTTTGGTACTGCGGAGTTGAGAAATAACCTCCAATTTAAAACACACAAATGTATCTTTTTTTCTTTATTCTCTAGTTTTCTCCTCAAATGCCATCATTCCTAATACAAATTACATATTCACATGCTACAAAAACATTCAAATGCTTCTTCTGGACTCACTTCAAAATCTAATACTCTAACTGTGGCCTAATTTTCAAAATACCAATTGTTTCAACAATTAAGTGGTATCATGGAAAGAGTACTGGGCCAGGAGTAAGAGAACTATGGTTCTAGACTTGCCAATATAAGAAGCTATTTCAACATTCCATGTGAGTTTGTTCCTCCAACTATAAAATAAGAAGGCTGAAATAGGTTAATTCCTAAGGTTTCTTCTGACTATAATTATTGAACACTAAGGAGATTCCAGAATCCCTTGATTTAATAATCCCTCGGTAGGGGGATACTTTCTTTCCTGCAGGGTAACACCCTTTCCTGAAGGACAGAAAAAGTCTAGTAACAGTCACCAGGTCCTGGCTGGTACAGCTCAGTGGACTGAGTGCCAAGCCAGAGAACCAAAGGGTTGCTGGTTTGATTCCCAGTCAGGCACATGCCTAGGTTGCAGGCCAGGTCCCCAGTAGGGAGTACTCAAGAGGCAACCACAGGTTGATGTTTCTCTCCTTCTCTTCCTCCCTCCCTTCCTCTCTCTAAAAGTAAATAAAGTCAGAAAGGAAGGAAGGAAGGGAGGGAGTGGAGGGGAAGCTTCTACCTAAGTCATCCACCCCTCTTGTCTTCATTCCCTGGGAACATGAAAGCCTTGAAGGTGAAACAATCCTCACACAGCCTGCCCAGGGCCACGTCATCTCTTCTCTGTCCTCACCATCATCCTAGCTCTGCCTGTCGCTCTAACTCTCAACCTTAAAATAGTGTCTGGTTTTCCTCACACCTAACAACCTGAAGTTAGTCCTGACACAGCAACACAATTGTTTCATTTGTAAGATGGCCATTTAATAATATCTTTTTGTAAATCTCAAACCACAAATAATCTCTATTGACTTTAACTTTAGATCTAAGAACTAAGTCTCCAAAATGTGTGTGTGATAATGTTGTATGCAGTTAACTGGAGTTCAAAACACAGTCCTGAGAGATACTAAAGGAAAATAATTTAAATGTCTTAACTAATCATGTTTTTGTATTAAGTAGTATGTTTAGCTCAATATTTCAAAACTTTTCAGACATAGTTGAGATGGAAATACAGACTTACTCATGCTATGTGATACTTAGCAAGCCATACTCAACCTCAATCTATTTTGAGATGAGGAAACGTCTAATAAATGGACAGAGTAAAGTCTTAAAGATCTTTTAGCTGTTACTTCTATGTACATAGATATTCTAAACCATAGTTTGGTGTTGGGTTCTGTTGGTTTGAAACCTAAGATGCTTAAACTCACCTTAGATTAATCTTTGTAACCAAAAGCCAAGTCATCACTTCATAAATGGAAAATGAAATTTAGACCAGAAGAGCACAGCATAGGACTATGGAAAAAAGACTAGAGTACCTGTCAAGACCTGGATTCTAATCCAAATTCTGACTCGAAGCTCTGTAACTTTGGTCCTGTTTCCTGATCTGCAAAAAGAGGTGATTAGACTACACTAGTGATTCCCAAACACTGGTATATGAACCATCTACAGGAAAATGAAAAAAGAGAAAAATAGAATTGTGGTGAGTTTTCCATGGGTTAAGTATTAAAATGCTTTATTCTGAGATCATGTCCTATCTTTTTGCTATTAAGACGTCACTTCTTTCATAAAATGATTGTGATTTTATAAAGTATTTAATTTCATTTGCCTCTAAAGAGTTTGCCTTCCAGATCATCTCCACGGCACTAAAGAGATTACACAGGGTCTGTACTTTCTCTGAACCATACTTTATTCCTTTAATAGTCACCACTCCTAATTCTATTCCCTAACCGGTTCTCAATATAAATTGCTTCTTCTCTAATCACATAGCCACTCCTTTATTTCAGGCACTCATCATCCCTTCCTTACACCTCAACTGTTTTCAAAACCCTTCAGCCTCGTCTACCTTCTAGGTTGCTTTTAAAATGGTCAACCCCAAATGCAAGTCCAATCCAGCTGTAAATTCATCACTGGCTTCTCATCATTTAAAATAACAATTCAAATTCCTTAGTTTTGCCTACAAAATTCCTCCTTACTGATTAGGGGATAATTTAACTTACTAATGATCTCTCTCCAGTCCCCACCTTATCATCTAGTCCTGTCAAATGTCTTCCCACTCTCTAAACAAGCCACAAGTCTATAAACTTCTTCAAGGCAGGGTTCTCTTCAAATTTGTCTGCATCCCCCCACAGTCTTTACACATCACAGATACTCAAGTAATGTATACACATAATGGAAAGAATAACCTAATAGTTAACATAACAGTTAACAAATACTGAGTGCCAAGCACCATTCTACACAATTTACAGATATTAATTTAATCCCACAACCAAGTGCTGTTATTCTCTAATCTATAAATGAGGAAATGGAAATACAAAGATTAAGTGGCCTGCCCAAGGCTGCACAGCTAACGGGCAAAACTAGGGATGAATCCATGAAATCTGCCTCCAGAGCCTGGATTCTTAACCTACCTCTCACAGAAGAGGAAAAATGAAGGAAGAGTTCCCTTTCACTTAGTTCAGACACACATGCTCAAGCAACTCCAGCTTTCTTTAATCTCTCACACACTAGGCCCATTCATTGTTCTTCAGTGTCAACCCAATAAAGCAGAAATGCTTTGGTAGCATTCATTCATTCATTCAATTAGCAAATATTCAGTAAGCAGATACGAAGGTGACAGATGATCTTGCCCCTTGCCCTGTAAAAGCTTAAAAACTAGCTGAGAAGATCTCATACAGTCTCACCAGTAATCTAAGAAATATAAAGTAAAAGAATATTTACTTCAAAGGAACTGGCTAAAACAGAATGACAGTGTTGTAGGGGTGAATGTGCAGGTATTGGGTAGAAGTTTTGTTTTGTTTTATTTTTTTACTTTATTTTGAGAGAGAGGGGAAGGGAGAGAGAAGGCAATCAATCAGTTGCCTTTCCTACTGGGTACCTGGTTTGCAATATATTCCAGGCACATACCCCAAATGGAACTCAAACATGACCTTTTGTGGGACGACGACCAACCCACTGAGCCACACCAGTCAGGGCTGGTGAAGTTTTAATTGGTACAGGCTACCTGGTTGGCGACTTGCAGGTCCAACCAATTTAATCCAGCCAATTTCATTTCTAGGTCTCTACCCTACACACCTGCCAACTATATTTATTGCAGCAAAGTATAAAAATATCTAAGTCTCTATCAATAGCTAAATAAACTTGATACATTGGTATTAGGAAAACTACGTGGCAATTAGAAAGATTATGGTTCCTCTACAAGGAAAGCACTCTAAGACATAGAGAACAAGACAAGCTACAGCTTGTTCCTTCCACCTCAGTGTGATCTCAATATAACACAATGAACACCTAAGATTTGTATATTTCATTGTATGTAAATTTTGTGTGAAAAAAAGTTATAATCAAATAATGAACTCTAGATAAGAATATGCATGCTCAAACACTCAGGTGAAAGTATACTATAATGCCTGAAATTTGTTTATTTATTTTTAATCCTCACCCTAGGACATGCTTATTGATTTGAGAGAGACAGGAAGAAGGGAAGGAAAGAGAGAGAGAGAAACAGCATCAGTTGCCTCTCGCCCTAACTTAGACCAAACCCCGTAACCTAGGCATGTGCCCTGACCAGGATTCACACCCGTGACTTTTTGGTTTACAAGACAACACTCCAACCAGTCACTCTAGCCAGGGCTGAAATTTACTTTGAAATACACCAAGAAACTATTTTGGAGTAACAGATGGAGGGATGGAGAGATGGATATGTGATAAAGCAAGTACTATAAAAATGGTTATAATAAAATCTAGCCTGGGCTGGATGGCTCAGTTGGTTGGAGCGTCATCCCATACACCAAGAGGTTGTGGGTTCAATTCCCAGTCAGGGCACATACTTAGGACGTGGGTTCAATCCCTAGTTGGGGTGCAAATGGGAGACAACGAATCAATGTTTGTCACTCACGTCAATATTTCTCTCTCTACCATCCTCCCTTTCTAAATCAATAAACATCAATGAGGACTTTTTTAAAAAAGGAAAAAAATGTCGGTGGTAGCATATATGGGTGTCCACTATAAAATTCTATCAATTTGTAGTATATTTGAAAATTTTCTTAAAATATTGGCAGGAAAAGCTAACAATACAAATCACTTTACAAGTGGTAGAAATAAGTACTATAAATTTGGAAAGGGGTAGGAATTTGTACATTGGGAAAAACTATAACAAGATGGCAAATGTTGAGTTATACCTTGAAAACAGGGATGAATTTGGGCATGGGGTACACAGGATGAAATAAAAATGTTATACTAACTATAGACTTACATGTGATAAAAGTTATTTACATCTTTGCCAATTCATCTATCTGACATACAGGGTGGAGCAAAAGTAGGTTTACAGCTGTGAGTACACAAAACAGAGTTTATTCTTGTATTATTAATTATTGAATTATTTTCCATGTGAACTGTAAACCTACTTTTACTTCACCCTGTATAATGCCCCAGTGTCTACATGTGCAGGCCCTGTGCTTAGTGTCAAGACTTTAGCACTGAATAGGACAGACTTCCTGCCCCACAACAACCACACTGACATGATTCCTATCAGTTGATGTGCTCCTCACAACATATGGGCACACCCTGAACCCTATTTAAAGGAAAACTGACACTCAAAGAAATTAAGTGACTTGTTCAAGGTCACATACCTGGCTAAAGAAGAGGCTAAACTCTCCCTAGAATACATGACCTATCTGGAGTAGAAATATCAGACAGACTCTAGTATCCTGCTTGCAGAGAGGTATAATGTAATTCTAGGCTATAAAGTATTCACATGACAACTGGTATTATTTTCAAGGGCCACTGTGGTCTCCAACTGTTTCAGATTTGGAGCTTACACTGTTTTCAGAACTCTTGTCTGTGAAAACAATTTTTAAAAAATCATTTTGTGGAATTTTGAGAAATGGAACCTAGTGAAAAAGACTTGTATGAACAAACAATATGAGCAGAACACTAAAAAGTCACCTGGACATCAGTGATAATATAAAGTGGGAACAGCTCCAAAATCATCACGCAAAAGCATCATAATGCCCAAGCAAAGCAAGCAGAGAAGGGCAATTCTGACGCTGCAGGGGAGACTTCTGAAGTGGGGTTGAAACTGGAAGCAAATGTAACAGATTTCAGACTAATGTTAGAAGGGCCGAAGTAAAAGCTAACACTTTCAGAATAAGAAAAATAACCAATTTTCTAGTTCCACAACCTAAAATGTCTTTAATCACGGTAGTTTCTCTCTTTATTCTAATACAGACACTTCCATGATTATTAAAACCCAAATGGAAAAAATCCAACTTTAAAGAATCTTATTTTTTTCACTTAGATTAAATTTCATCAATTGGCTTAAATGGAGACAACAGAATTATTTTAGTCAAGGTAAGCTCAGGGTAATAGTATATGGAACAAACTACCCTATTCTGGGCTCTTTTAAGTATGCGATATTGTACTTCCTTTTTTGAACTGCTTTTTACTTATGGTTGACCCTTTAGTGCCTCTCAATTTTGTATTGAAATCATTCTGAATTAGACACATTTTTAAGTTTCTCTATTTATATAATTCAAGAAATCCTCTGAAATTGCTCTCTTATTTGTGATCGGCATCACATAAAATATGTCCTGATCAGTTTTCTTCAATGAACAGTCTTGGAAAAAAATGGGAAATTTTATCAAAGCATTAAATGAATGTAATTACTTCAACCCAGTACAACCGCCCACCACAGTCTACTTCAAAACCTGCCTGAACCTTCCCTTCTGAATTTCACTCTGTTAGAAAATAAAAAGCATTCCAGAATAAATGAAAAAGGGCAATCTATTTAAATTTCCCATGTTACTTAGAATAATAATTCAACAAAATTAATCTGTTCTTCTAAAAAAAAAATTATTGCAGTGCCCTTGGCAGTCTTCCAGATCTGTCCCTTGCTTTAACAGTATTTGGACGAAACAGACCCAGGGATGCCCCTTCTTCCAGCCTCCAACCATCCTCAAACCTCTTTTGCAGTCACCACCTTTGGAACCACCTCAGCCATCCACAGCCTCTGAGACCAACCAAACACCATTTTTTGACCTTAACTCCTTATTGTCAAACAACCATAAGCTCCCAAATTTGTCAGAATTATTCTACCAACATGGAAGTTGCCATCGTCTGGTCAACCTGCCTCTGCAGACCTCTTATACCTACCTCTCTCTGAAGCCTTTCCAAGATGAATGGGGTAAAACTTGGGATGCCATGGAGGCCACGATGGCCACGGAGAAGAACCTGACCTGGGGGCCTTTTTGGATCTGCATGCTCTGAGCTCTATCTGCAAAGACCCTCAGCTCTGTGACTTCCTGGAGAGCCACTTCCGGGATGAGGAGGTGAAACTCCTCAAGATGGGAGGCCACCTGACTAACCTCCCTAGGCTGGCCTGGGCAATCATCTCTTTGAAAGTCTCAGCCTCAAGCATGACTAAGGAGCCTTTAGAGCCTAGAGGCCTTTGAGGGGCCCCCTCTTCATTATCTTGGTGTCTAGCTTTTGCCTGAGCCTCTCCCGGAAACCACTAGGCATCCTCTTAACCATCCTGGAGCCCTCTCCCATGCACTGGACCGAATGGAAACAACAAAGCTTCCTGCAGTAAGAAAACAAAAGAGAGAAGAGGGAGATGAGAGGGAGAGGAGAGGAGAAGAGAAAAGGAAAAAGACCACCACAAAATCTAATATCCAAACCTCTCTTGAACTTAGTTTTATATACTTCTAAAGAGATGATTCTCAACCAGGGGAGATTTTTGCCCCAAAGCACATTTGACAATGTCAGAAGACATTTTTGGTTGTCACAATTGGGGAAAGAGGAGTGCTACTGGCATTTTATGAGTAGAAAGACCAGGGATGTTGCCAATATCCTACAATGCAATGTAGGACAGCTCCTTACAATGAATTATTCAGTCCAAAATATTAATAGTGCCAAGGCTGAGAAACCTTAATCTAATATTATGATAATCCCATTTAGCATATACTATTTGTGAGCTTTGGTGGGGTTATGTCATACTGCAGTGTGACAGTTTTTATCAAGGTGGCTCAGGACAATCATCTTGGGTTGTACAAAAAGTAACACTGCTTTCTTTATGACATGTGATTCACCTTTAATCGTCAGTATTTTAAAAAAACATTATCATTTATCATTTGGGTGAAAAACAATTTTATTAAAAATTTTAGTAAGAATTTAAATAGCAAATCCAAATTATTAGTCCATGTTTTCCTGGTTTTGAAGGTATAGATAAATACCCAAAAAAGGCAATATCCGTTAAAATACAACTGACTAGTCATCAACTGTGACGCCATTCTGAAAATTGTGATTCCAGATTTCAGGTACAACTCTAGTAAAGTTTTGGCTTATGATCACTTTTGGGTCTTTTTTCCCCCTTTGCCCTTGCATCATCAAACAAAATACAGTGAAAACTCAGTACATTCAATACATTGAAAAATATACTGGAAAAAATTTTTTTTAATTTTTACTTATTGATTTTAGAGACAGAGAAGAAGGGAGAGGGAGAAACACAAATTTGTTGTTCCACTTATTTGGGCATTCACTGGTTGCCTCTTGTTTGTGCTCTGACCAGGGACTGAACCTGCAACACTGATGTATTTGGATGATGTTCTAACCAACTGAACTACCTAACCAGGGCCTGAAAGTTTAGTTCTTATTTTGGTTAAAAAGAGGACAATCATCTTCTAAGCTCCACACTACAAGCATTATCAGTTTTAGACAATAAATACCAATTAGAACAATCAATCCAATGATTTTTTTTCCCCTTCATTTCTACATCATGTTGATCACCTCTATACACATACCTGTGTCCACTTAACACCATACCAAGTAAGTTTTGGTACACAAATATCTTAAAAGATGAAAGAATACTATTATACATTCTTTTAGCAAATTGGAATGGTTTTGCTTGTTGAAAATATTGCATTCTGAAGTCCTTCCTGTGGAATAACTACCTAGATGAGTCATTCATGAAGAAATATGAAGACAAGATTCTCTTTCTTTTCCCTCAGAAATATATTATCAACTCAAATTCTTCAGACTG